TGGAGCGAAAAAAAAGGCGTGTGCGGGAGGGGGGGGGTGGCGGAACGGAATCCATGAACCCGTTTATCGAAGACTAGGAGGGGCACGGGAGACAGGGCCAACCCAGCCCAGGCACGGCCGGGCCGCAGTCACGCAGCGGCGCGCCCCCCGCGCCCGCAATGGCAGGGCGTGCCCAAAAGTACCAAAAATGGAGCGAAAAGGCGGAGGGTGCCGGAACGGCAGTTTCGGAACCCGTTAGGAAGACTAGGAGGGGCCCGGGAGCGACAGGGCCAGACCCAGCCCAGGCACGGCCGGGCCGCAGTCACGCAGAGGCGCGCCCCCCGCGCCCCCCAAAACGCCCAAGCGCAGTGGCAGGGCGTGCCCAAAAGTACCAAAAATGGAGCGAAAAGGCGTGTGCGGAGGGTGGCGGAACGGCAGTTTCGGAACCCGTTAGGAAGACTAGGAGGGGCCCGGGAGCGACAGGGCCAAACCCAGCCCAGGCACGGCCGGGCCGCAGTCACGCAGAGGCGCGCCCCCCGCGCCCCCCGCGCCCCCCGAAACGCCCAAGCGCAGTGGCAGGGCGTGCCCAAAAGTACCAAAAATGGAGCGAAAAGGCGTGTGCGGAGGGTGCCGGAACGGCAGTTTCGGAACCCGTTACGAAGACTAGGAGGGGCCCGGGGGCGACAGGGCCAAGCCCAGCCCAGGCACGGCCGGGCCGCAGTCACGCAGAGGCGCGCCCCCCGCGCCCCCCGAAACGTTCAAGCGCAGTGGCAGGGCGTGCCCAAAAGTACCACAAATGGAGCGAAAAGGCGCGCGCGGAGGGTGCCGGACGCGCAGTTTCGGAACCCGTTACGAAGACTAGCGACGGTGGAGCGAGAGGCGCAGGCACGCACGCGATGAGACTTTCGGCGGCCCTTCGATGAGACCTTCGGTATCCCAGGCGCCGCCCCGCCAGAGCACGCTCCTAGGCGGGGTCGGCGGATATTGCTTGTAGCCCACAGAATGGGCCAGTTTCTTGCTGGCGAAGCCCTTTTGGTTTCCTGAATCATTGGTCGCAGTCTTCATTCCGGAAAACACGCTCATGGTTTGTCTCTTCTTGTGGGAGATCCTGAGATCAGCCTGTGGCCAAGGCAGAGATTGCTGAGGGCCAAGCTGAAGCGGCTGATGAGGACGAGCCTGGCAAAAGGGCAAAACGGTTCAAAACATTGCTTAGCTTATCTTGCCGTTTTTGACTTCTTGCCTATTGTGGTTTCCTTTACGTTCCTTTCAGCAAGCAAAAAGTGTACAAGCAAAAAATGTAACTTTTTGCAGGGGGTTTAAGTTTGGTCAAGAAAAGTGTTTATTCGGAGGAGTCAGTGAAATCCCATGGACTGCCTCTTTTTTCAGTTTCAGGTTGTCCCTTTCAACAGCACCCCACCAAAGGAAAAATCAAATCACATCGGAATCAAAAGCTGAGGTGACATGGAAGTGCACAGGCCCCTTTATCGAAAATACTGCAGTTCTTGATCTTCCACGTTTGTTGGAGGGTAAACCAGGCAGGAACTTGGAGTGCAGTTTTTCAATGAAGACAGAAGGCAAACCGGCCCAAGGATCCCCCAGCCGTTAGCGGCTACAGGTTTTGGGATAGCCCGATGTGGTGGGGTTTTGGGACTTAAGTCCCATCATCTATCGGTGTGTAGTCTTTTGTGAGGACAGCGCCAGGTCTCGGAACAGGCATTTTGAGGCCCTTGCTTGCGTGATCCTGTTCTCGGGCTCTTTGACTTGACGACGTCAGACCACAAGACACAATATGACTATGCGTGACTTCTCTAAGCGTCGCGAAGGCTAGCCTACCATGAGCCATGCAAATTGGCATCAACTTGATGCATGTATCATGTTAACTGCTCATAAGATCGGCCCGTCTCTGCCTTTTGTTGTTGGCACCGGAGTTTGACCTCCAGGTTTCGGTTGCTCTATTTACCGGGTGGTATGTGATTCACGCTTTCCCACAAAACGCAGCCATGCTACTAGTCTCCCAAAAGTGCTTGCAGCAAGTGGTTGCCCTGCACAATTGTGATCGCACCTTGTTCGCAAGACAAACGGGTACGGTGGCACACGTTTTCACTGTCGGCCCCATCTTTTTGCCGAGAGGTCGTCATCAAAACCACTGCAGAATGCCGTAGCGTGTGGTTTGCCCAGGAGCCGAAGCAGCCATTGGCGGATGAGCCGAAGCAGCCACTGGCGGATGAGCCGAAGGAGCCACTGGCGAATGAGCCGAAGGAGCCACTGGCGAATGAGCCGAAGGAGCCATTGGCGGATGAGCCGAAGGAGCCACTGGCGAATGAGCCGAAGGAGCCACTGGCGAATGAGCCGAAGGAGCCAGATGAGCCGAAGGAGCCATTGGCGGATGAGCCGAAGGAGCCGGAGGTGCCAAAGGAGGTGACGTCGCCGGGGGCGACCGTGGTGACGCCGGATGTGACGGAGGCTACTGAGCCCGCTGAGCCTACTGAGCCGACACCTGCGCTGGCAAACGAGGTCGCGCAGCCAGTGACTGCGCCTAGGCTCACCTTGGCCTGGGCTTATCACGCTTTCGAGACCTCCATGCAGAAGTGTTGGATTGGCCGGCTGTTTGAGCGAAAGGATGTTGTGCCACTAAAAGCCAGCAGGCCACCTGCTGAGTGGTCAGGGGCCACGTAACCTTCATTCAGCTTTGATATGGAATATCCTGCCCTTTCGGTAGCACCGGGAAACCAACGATTGTCGAGTTTGCCATTGCCAAGTACAAGTTAGTATAAGTTTGAGACGCAACCACCCGTTTCCAATCGTAGTCACAGTTGGCAAGGATCAATCGTTTCGTTATGAGATGTCCTGTAAAGCGAGACGGTCCATCCCAAAAGCCAGGTCACACATCATACTGGTGTTGGTCCACGGGTGTTTTTTGCGTACTACGCTTATATTGAAAAGTTGCGACTTTGTAGCTGGATCTGCCAAACAAGTTCGGTTTCTTTTACTGCTCTTGTACTTAAAAGTTGTGACGTCTTCGAGCTGGAGCTGCCAAAGTGTACTTCACATACTATGCTTGCACTGGCAAGTCAAGTTGCGACGTTGGAGCTGGAACTGCCAAAGTTTACTTTGTGAACTTGCGCTTGTACTGAAAAGTTGCGACTTTGTAGCCGGAGCCGCCAAAGTGTACTTCGCAAATTGCGCTGCGCTTGCACTGCTGCGTACTTCGCTTACGACGCTTGTGCTGGAAAGTGGCGACTTTCGAGCGGCCAACGCGTCCTTGGCGAGCACGCTTGCACTGGCCGGCGGCGCCTGTCGAGCTGGAGCTGCCAAAGCGCCTTTACACTTGTACTGAAAGCTGCGACTTTTGACTTGGAAGTTACGGCAAAGCGAGATGCTTCGGCCGAAAACCGAGACCCCCCACCAATGATAGTGAGCCAGCACTTGTTTTGCTTGCTCATATGCTTTATACCTGCGCTTAGCCTGGCTCACCTGACTCATGGGCGTCCTGGCGCCGCTTTTCAAAGCCGACGCGTTGTCCTTTAAGTTGCCCAAGAGACGTTGGCCTGTTCAGGGAAGTCACATGTCCGCTAAGTCGGTTCTTCTCCATGTTTGGTAAATCAGGTGACCTAGCTGGTGATCAAGGGGGGTGTGGTGGTCACAAGTGCTGGCAGTCAGCCTCTGTGACTCACTACTGCATGATAAGAGGCTTCGACATGAGCTGACACCTACAGGAGTGGAATACCCCCTTTGTACTCAGTTTGGTTCCCTGGTTACCTACAGACTGCATGCCAGGTGTTACCCCTTTCTGCAGGTGATGAGCAATCACAATCCTGTCACATGTTGGGGTCCTTTGTCTAAGCAGACGGCAGCAAATCAGCTCCAGGATCCTTTCTGAAGGTCAAAGGTTCTGAGGGCAATCGACTTTAAGATCGTCCCCAAGCAATTGACATTCAACAGGCCATGCTTTCAGTCGTTTTTGTAAGAACCGTTTCCGGAACGTGGCATGTGTTTTGGTTGTTTATCATCTGCGGTTTGACCAACTATCAGCCATCTTGAACGGCAGTTGACCAGAGCTTTGTGGCGTCCCGCGCTCGCTTCATGCTGAGGTGGATGCGCCCCCCACAAGCACGCAGCCAGCCACGCCGACAGCACAGGCTGGAAGGAAAGTGCCGGGAATTTCCCTGCGTGCGTGTGCCCAATTGGGGTCTTATTAGAACCCTCAGTGCAAAATATGTTGTCCTAACTCAAACTTTTGGGATGACCTGAATTGTCCTGTGTGTTTATCGGGTATGTTCCACGTTGCTTGTTCTTTCCCAGACCTGAACTGTTTCCGAAGAGCATGTTATTGTACTTGCGTTGAGCTTATTTGTGTGTCTTGTATATGTTTGGTTGTCAAGTTTGTTGCTTGACTGCTTGTTGTGTCCTTGAAATTTATCACTTCGCTCGCGTGCTCTACAAACCGTGTATATTCAATGGGAAAGGACGCATTCACTTTAACCTGAAGAACAACGACACATGCCGGCCTTACAAGCAAAGCTATTGATGATACAGCTGACTGAGCGGGCGTGGCTCCCATCTCCCTGTTGCGACGCTGTTTTTAAAGACTGTTTGACCACTGAGTTGCAACAATTAACCGTGATTTGGGGACTTGGACGCTTTTCCATTAGTCACAGCCTGGAAGTGCATTGTGTCAGCACCCTGTGGCCCGTGTCTTGCTGTATTTCAAGCGCATTTAAGCGCATCATGGAAGACTGGAGGGAATAATTTGGACTTTCGGTAGCGTGAAGTAGTTCCAAATCAACTCCAGGTTCAACCACACCCACCTTACTGGCTGTTGCTTTTGTTGGTCCATGCTGCCTTTCCGCAGTACCCTATGGCGTGGGGAATGGGCGATCCCTATGGCGGGTGTCCTTTTCACGCCACCCAAAATGGTACCCTGACACCCATGTGACCATGTCCATGATGTGTGTTTTAGCCATGGGAGATTGTTTTGAACTGCCAAAAGCTTGTCAGGCGATCCTCGCGACCGTCGGGACTCTCCCTGCGAGCACAGTTCACTCATTTCCCACGGACACCATCGAGGTTGGCATCACCATCCCGGTGGGCACCTACCCGGGCGATAGCTTCACCACAGAGTGGAATGGCGCCCAGACTGGAGCGAAGGAGGAATCTGGGGCATTCAATTCGGGTCTGTCTCCTACTTCCTATGCAAAAATATGGGGACTGCACGAGATAAGTGCCAGGCGGCGGCTACTTCCTGTGCACGAGAGAATTGCCCAAACTTGGGTTGTTCGGCAGCGACACCCTATGCAGAGATACGGGACAATTGCCCATCAACCTTTGGTCTGTTCGGCATCTCCTTTCTATCGGGCCTTTGTTGGATGAACAATCCTGAAGGCAATTCTGCGTGACTAGTCTTGAGCCAAGCCTGCATGTATTGCAATACTGGATCTGCGTTTGTTTGAACACTACTCGGGGCTTTTTTGCTCATGCTAGACACCCTACACACCCCCAAAGCCCCGACAAACCTAAGGTTGGTCATCGCATTTGAGTTGACATCATCTTGGAATAGCAGCCCGCACGTTGAGTACATTCATTAATGCCAAGACTGCCTCCAAGCGTTCACACTGACATGTTGAGCCCACAAGAGACCCGCGACGGGGTGTAAGGAAACAGTTCAGGCATCAGGTTTTTAGCAAGAGTTGCCCGCATGAATTGGTAGCAGGTTGCCTGCTGCAAAAAGAGCATGCAGCTACAGTGTTGATTACCATGCAATTGCACAAATGAAGCGAATGGTATAGGGACATGCATATCATGTATACAGTATAGGGCCAATGTCCAATCATGCTGAGTCGAAAATGAAAACGTTCTTGAGAAAGCGATTCACGCTTGCATTCATGATATAAGCGCGAGCTGGCAAGTAATCGTAGGCAGACTTCAGTTGTTGTTTCGTGTCAAACTGTTCATTTGTTTGTATTTGCTAGTGTTTTGTGCTGTTGGTGCAATTAGCTGTGTTGGAGCTGCTACTCATAAATGTATGTTTGTGTGAACCGTGAAAACAATACTTTGAAAACACACCGGCGCTTTAGCATGCAGATTGAAACGGGTGGTGGTTCTTTCCAAGCTTGGGCAGCGGAGCACTTGTCACAATTCGCTTGATCATGTCCGGTGAGTTGTTTGATCATGTGTGCTTTGTATTTGCAATCATCTTGACCCTCAACCTAAGAAAATGACCACCTGCAATCAAGATCCTGTAATATACTTCTACTGTCACTAGCACGGGCAAGCCAGGGGGACGGCTGCCAGTTAGTTTGGCTTGCGTTTGATTGGGATGTGAAAGTTAGCCCTCACCACCAAAGCAGGAGGGATGGCAGAGGTAGGGGCTAGGTCGCACCAACCATTGGCAGCAGCGACCCAATTCGTCAACTTTCAGACCTAGTGGATTTCAGCAAGAATGATGCTTAGCATTCCTGGAGCTCTCCTGGAGGTAAGCCGAGCTCACCCATGAAGCAATCCTAGATTTCTCAGTTTTGGTTGTGACTTATCGTAATTTCTTTGTATTAAATATGTGTTGCTGAGATCCTTCAAACCCGCGGATTCACTTTGCAAGCCGAGGCCATGAGGTGCAGGTGGTGGTGCCGGCGGGCTGCTCCCCGGGGTCCCTTATCACGGTGGAGGCCACTCCGAAGAAGCAGGTGTCCAATGCCACGCAATCCATGTAGCTAACGTATGCCATTTTGAGTTGATCGATTTGAAGGGTAAACATGAATAAATATTCGATATGTGGAGTGTTTGGGAATATTGATTCAGAGCCACCAGAGATCGGTGGAATGCCCCTTCTTCGCCCCTAGCCACAAATGGCCACTTTTAGGCTGCATGGCTGCCCCTGCCACGGCCACCACGGGTTATTGAAAATCAGTCGTCAATCGATTGGGTCTGCACTGGAGCAGCCCGCCGGCATAGGGATTGCCTATGCCAGATGGAATGGTTTCCCCTGTTGTATTTGTGCCCGGCTAAGCGTTAAGGATTCCTTGTGCCAGATGGTAGTGGTCTCCCCTAGTTTTGGTCTCCCCTAGTTTCCCCTGTTGTAGTTGTGTCAACCTAAGGGCTACGGATTGGCATGAGGGATTCCCTCCGTGTTGAACAACCTATTTAGTACTCGGCCTGTGATGCTGACCGACTCCAATTCCAACTCCTTCCATGTTCCAATGTTGGCAGCAGTAATGCTGAATTGCAGCCCTGGCTGCTTGAGCGGCCATATCCTCCCTCGAGGGATGCCCAAGTGTGACCATTCAGCTTAGTGCAGCGGGGTGCAAGCGCAATGCAAAGGGACCTACTCGGATTTTCCTTTCCCTGTCAGCGGGAAGCTGTGACGTCGACTACACTCACTTAGGGGTGCCAGGGGGGGGGGAATGGACAGGGTGACCTTTTTTGTTGTTGTTGATGATCATTTCAATTCCAGAGAACAAGTGAAATGGTCCATGTTTAATGCGAGCAACAAGCGGTGTTTTCGCTAGTCTATGGTTGGTCTAGGAGGCATGTTTCAAACCTTTGAGGGCTGGAGAAAGTTAGTATGCTGCAGCCAGAGAACGACCGTACCCCAAACTGAGTTTCTACAATGAGATCCAAAACAAGTTGTGTGTTGGAGCATATTGTCAAAAAACATAAATATGTGTTTAGGCCCTGAAGAGACTTTCGATTGGCCTCTGGCCCTCTGGAGGTGCCTGCAGAGCCCAAGGAGATGCCGGAAGAGGAGCCTTGGCCCAGGTTTGCACAAAGCCAAACGGGGGTCCATTTTGAGAAGCCCCCGACGGGTTCAAACATGGGAGAGAAACCCTCCTGGCTTGTCCAGGAGCCCAAGGAGCCGTCGCCAGAGCCGGCGCAGGAGTTCAAGGAGCCGGTGCAGGAGGTGGGGGCAAAAGGAAGCGGTTGGTTCGAAAGGCACATGTTCCAATCCTTTAAGTATGTTCATTAGCAAAAAACTTCAACCACTTTGCAGCCACACGCTAAAACAAACAAAAATACATAAAGGAACTTGAAAACAACAATCACGCCAAGCACAGTGAGGCGAAGGTTGTTTTCTGCGACTGAGGACTGCATAACATCAGACTCCGAATTTCCCACACCGTCCATGGATGCGTGGATTGAAGGGTAGGTTTTCTTCTTAGGGTTGTTTCACGTTGAATTAAGCAATCTCACAGATGGATTTTCGGGCCCCTCTTCATGTTTCTTTCAAAGCTGAAGAGAGCCACACATGGAATTCAGGGACCTATTTGTACAAACATGAAGATCGTGAAGACGTAGAAATCATCGTGAGGAAAAATGGGACATCCATGGTTGCTGACCCCCATCAGTTGCTCGAGGGAAACAAAAGCCATCCAGCTAGTTGTAAGGGAGGAAAATGCAGCAAGCGGGAACAACATATGACTTGCCTCCTCGCCTATAATATCTGTGAACTTGATCGTATGTGCATATATAACGCTTTAGTATGCAAACCACGTTTCACCTCGGGTACCTCTAGATGGGACCTTCACACTTGTTGGAAGCCTGCTGATATTCATGTTGAGCAGGCTGTTACCAACGGAAGTGTTTCATGACTAGGGTCCGTTCACATGGCTGTTTTCCAGTTGCTTTCCTCGAGCAATCCCCTACTGTAAACAGGCCTACGATCACAATTTCCCGTCCTTCGGTCCTTCCCCAGGTGCTTCCGGCACCCGTGACCATCACAGAGCTGCCGCCCGCACCACAGCCGCAGCCGTCGCCAGAAGCCCCTCAGCCTGCTGCGCCGGAGCCGGCAGCCCTGCAGCCGGCAGCCCCGCAGCCGTTGCCGTTGCATACGGTGGACCAACCAAAGGTGTTGGAGGCGGGGTTCGGAAATTACAGGAACTTGCTTTGGGGGGGAGGGGGGAATGGATGGAAGGTGTGGAGGCGTTTGGATTACATTCTGGCGAGAATGCTTAAGAAAGAGTGTACACATGCCATGTCTCCATTTATGAATAATTGTAGGCTTGTCTGAAATCGATCTTGCCCGTTCTCAGCAGTTTATAAACAATTAAGCCGCAATTGACGACTCAAGCTGTACACTTCCCGTATGTGTGGGTGAGCAAGGAGGATGACTACACCAGAATTGGGTAAGGTTCACCATGCTGGCGTTTAGCCAGGCGGGGTCTCCGATCAAGAGGCCGCCCACCTTGGGCTCGGGCGGAAACGTGGTTTCGCCGGTGGCCACAGTGAAGCGGCGGGAGTGGACACAAGAGGACAGCTCGCAGGTCATCCCCAGGCGATCAATGGCACTCTTGAAATCCCATGTACGTGTTTCGAGAGTTTACCAGTCAGCCGAAAGCAAGTCTTGGTCTGAAACGAGCCGCCCGTTGTTCAGTGGATGCCACTACAACTAACTGATGAAGCGCCAAATGGGCTGATGAACCGCCAAATGGGCTACCTTCGTCTTTCAGGGGCACTGAAGCTGAAACTGGGTGCAACATAACCCCGACCCAGGAGAGAAATCGACTTGCATGAGCAACTAATAAAGAAGGAGTTCTCCGACGCTCAGAATGTCAGAGCTGTATCAGAACCAGAGACGCTATGCCGGACAAACAAGGGCAACCGGCGGTATCCAGGAGTTGCCAGTAGCAAAAAAAACAAGAGCCTGGGAGCAAACCTTTCCTGGAGTTGTTTGGAAGGGCGTCACTCAAGGTGTCCTGCAGTGGGGCTGTGGGCCCAACAGGCATTGGTGCCAGTGCCCGTGTTTAGGTCACCTGGTGTAACATTGATGGTACTGGTCTCAGTTTGGTTTTATGAGTTTACCCGCGCCGTCCCTTTCCCGCTCTTGGCAAATGAACGGAGGCAAGTGACATTGGACCGGAGCCATTTTGTTGCTTGACGCACCAACCAGTCCCAACATTGGGATAAAGAGTGGGGAAGCAGGATCTGCTTGTTTTACATGGGTTTGTCTCTAAAGTGGATCCCTTTGAGACAGACCCAGTAGGCTTGTCAGGTATCCATCCACCTTGAAGAAGCTCACCTTTTGCCCCTACTAGGGGTCAACCGAGTTGTTGAACGTTGGTATACATGAACAGAACGTTCCCTTGCCGTGCACTGGACGAGGAGATGGCAGCGGGCAAGTGGCTTGCAGAGGCGCAGGCGGTGCTGATTTGCTGTGGCGCCTTGGCAAATGAGCCGCTTGTGGCTTGTGGGCAGTATTTTAGGGGAGTATTGGGGAGGGGGCTATCACCTGTTGAACTGTTAACAAGGTTTAAGTTTGTCCTTGGCTTAGGCTTATCCAGGGCAGAGCTCCCCCATAGGCTCCTCTTGTAGGTCAATGATGTGTTGTTTGTTGGCTGTCTTCCATTTTGTTGTGAGTAACCAACCTGTTCATGGCTGGTTGCTTCGGAAAAGCATCTCCCATTGACCTGGCAAGAAATTCACATGTAACAATCAATTCTCCTGAGCGATCTAAGGGTCCACAACCAAGTCCCACAGAAGACGTATCATTTCCTGCTGAGGGTGATGCACCTGTGTTCCCTCACCGGACAACAAGACCAGCCGGAACATCAACCAGCCAATGCCAAACGCCAGACCCACAAAGCCAAGAACTGACCCGAAGCGGCAACTCCAGAGGCAACCCCCGGTGAATCATGGAAAAGTATCTTTGCCTGGAAAGAGCAAAGTGGGAAGTCTTGAGGATGTCTTGCTAAATTTGCCCCAGCCTTACGACTTAGACGGCTCCTCCTGTTTCCCCACCAAAACCAGACTCCTTAAAAACATAAAATCCAAAATGGGTCGGTTTCCTTCGGTTCCCTTCAAACCAACCCCAAGAAGGGTAGCAAGCCTAAAGATGCCCCTTCCTTTTTGGCCATAGTTCAAAGGGACCTTCCCCCCGTTTTTGGAACTGTAGTACTGTACCATTTTTTGGTTGGCGTTAAATCGAAACCCCAAGGACCGAAGGACAACCACGAAACCGGTGTTGAAGGGAAGTCAGCAGTAAAGCCATAGTTTTGACGGGTCGCCCCGCAAAGGAACCAAATGCCCACGGGCATTGCCGACTTAGGCTCCGGCAGCCTGGCAGCCTCCTCCGGGCACCCAGACGCCTTCCGCTCCGCGGAGCACTTCGCGGAATCGTACCCGGAAATGCCGCAGCGCCTCGTTTTTTTTTTTTTAATCTCGGGCGGGCAGGTCAGTACCACCCATTTTGGATCTGTACAAACACAGACCCAGTTCGGTCCAGCGGATTCTGCCCTTTTCCCTTTTGCCATGTTTCTTGGTGGCTTCCCCCGTAAGAACGATCAACCCAAAAAGGGTTGAAAGGGTTGCGATTCTTGTACCAGTCACCGGGCATTTGGCTCGATCGGAGTTTTCGCTACAAGGAGTTAAGCTTTATTATTGAAATCGCTACGCGATCCGCACAGTCCTCTATTAGTAAGCTGGGGATGCTGAGGATGCTGGAAATGCAAGGGATGCAACCACACAACGTACATGAACAGACAGTCTTCGCATCCAGCACAGCATGCCCAAAAAATAGTAGTCCCGAAAGCCTTCGGCTTTGATAAGAGATTCGATTCCGAAGGAAGACCAAGTTGCAAACTGCCATCTACACGCTCAACTGGCGTCGGCGGATTTATTGATTTTTTCCGGGGGGGGGGGGTTCCCACAATGGAGGACCCCTTTTGGCTGGTTTTAATCAGAAATCTAGAGGAAACCAACGGTTTTTGGAGACGCCGATTCTGAGAAGCACCGTTGAGTCGATTCGGAATCTTGCTTGTGGTGTCAATCTAGGCAAGGACAACCGAACGCATCGCATCTCCCATTTGTGTTTGGAAAAACCTGGGATTTGCACGTGCTGGTCCTCGTACTGAGTTGTAAGCTAAGGTGGGGCTACAAGACCGCCACCGACTGCGCTGCCATCGTGACGGATGGCCGTTTGTCCCTCTATGACCAGTGGGGCTTTTGGGCCGACCACACAGAAAAGGCGATACCGTGCGTTTATGAGCTGCGAACAGTTTTCTTTTTAATTACAACTGCTTGAAGACCTGGCCTGCGGACTTGTTTCATCCATTGCTTTGTTGTGCATAGCTACACATTCAGACCAGATGTTCAGGCTTTGGACATTGCAAGAGCCCTCAACATCAAAAGAAGGCAAGGTGGTATCTACAAGCACACCGATCTGCAACCTAGTTGTCAATCACACTTTCAAGAAGGAGTTTGGCTCAGCAATACTTGATTCTGACATTGATTCAAACTGTTGCAGAAGAGCAGCTGCGAGATTAGCAGGGCGCCCATACCAGTTTTCCTGGAACGCACACCGTAGAGTCTTTGCTAGTTGGTGATAAGCAGGAGATTCTGAGCGGGCTCAGCATATACACACACATTATGACACCCGCACAAGCGAATGTTTGCCGCCCAGATGCATGAATATCTTGTCAGCTTGTTCCACCAGGTGCTTTGATTGATGTGCCGTGATGCTTCAACACAACTGCCAATAAATAGATGTGTACAAAAGCCGCAACAGACTTGCCTTCAACATTACTGTATATAACTAGAACTTATTGTGCAATCAGATACGTCGTGTGCTGTGGGATGCTGTGGGCATCAGTCGTACAATCCCGGCTTAGGCCAGGCAATTCTTCTTTTGGAAGTACGTATAGTAGGGTTTCGGATGCCCGTGCCTGTTTCCTTGTTGCTTGCCAATCGTTACACATGTTGTTTTTGGCAGGCACCCTTTTCACCTTGGTTTCGAAGCAAGCCAAAAGGACATTCACACTTGTTTGCCTCGCATGTGATTTCTGGTGCAGATTGGTTTCCACTATTGGGGGTACAGCCAGCAAATATGGTCTCCTGCCTAGACCTTTGTGACATTTTGCTTTCCACCCTTTTGCCTTTTGTTGCAGGGGTACTTGTGGGTACTTGGCGGATTCAAGTCGACAATATTGGTTTAGTTGCTCTCCCTCACGCAGCCACCGCACAGTCTATCCTACATCATTTCCCTGCTGCCCAGTGGAACCCTTTTTCCCTTTGCTTTGGGAAGGGTTTCCCTTTACAATCAAACGCCAGAAGAGGGTGCCCTTGTTTACCCATGGCCACTGGGCTTTTAAGATATGCCCAAGTCGAAGGTTGTCACCATCGCCTCAGCTTGGCAGGTGAACAGCATGCCAGTTGATGAAGCCTTGCTGGAAAACCTGTCCAGTGCCATTGGCGACAAGGCGACATCGGCGAATGGATGGCAAATGTTGCAGTGATCTATGGCTGGGTTGGGACGAGCAAACAAGCGAAACAAGCAGGGGATGCCCATTTGCCCACTTGCTTAAGAATAAACGAGCAAAACGGAGGTTTCCGTGAAGCCCCTTCGAGGACTATTTCGTGTACAGCTGCAGCGCCGACCAATTGTTTGAGCGTGCTGGCTTTGACAGCCGCCGGATCTACACTCCTGCAGGTAGTTGGAGACTGGGCAAAGAAGCCCCCATCCCTAAATCCCTTGCTCAGAATCTAAGCGCCGTTGTTCTTTTTCTGATGCCAGCGGCGGTTCCATAGTCAACAGGTCTGCACCTACATGCTTTGACTTTTTAAGCAAGTATTAGTATGAGTGCATCTTGATGCAGAACAGCCGGTGGCCGCAGTAAGGAGAAAGGACATGGACCTCCCGAGATAAATCAAGTCCTGGAGTCCTTTGCGAGCCCGTTGAACATGGGACTTATTTTACGATTCGGCACAGAGTTTCAATCGGGCTGTGCACAAAATCCGCATCGCACCAGCGATGGATAGCACCCTATGAATACTGGGATAAAGCACCTCTCAACTGGTGCAGGATTTTATTCATTCACAGTACGGCTGTTCCAGATAAAGCAAACTTGGTATTTAAGAGATTTGCAAGGCCTGCTCATATTGTAGTATCATAGCTGCAGTTGCATAAGGGAACTTGCTGGAAGGGGTTCACGAACTTTCCACCAAGAGATGAGCACACAACACGAGCGTGTTTAGTGTAAGTCTTAGAATTATGTTGCATACCCAACTTGTTGTACCTAGCATACACATGCCACCTCCCCTCTTTGGACCTGTGCTTGGGTCAGCTTTACTGCACTCCAGACCTTTTTGTACGCAAAGTACAACATTGGTAGTTTCAGCTCCAAAAACATAAAATATACGAAGTACACTTTGGCAGCTTCAACGTGCCAGTAGCTGCTCTATTTGTTTATTTGCTCATGGTTTTGCCGAGAAAGCCAGCACACCGTTAATATGAGGGCTACTTGAAGTCCGAATCACTCATAGATGTACTCCATGTCCTTGTGCAGTTGTATGTGCATTCTATTTAAGCTCCAATTGCATAATTCCAGTTGCGTGGAATGAATCCTATTCAAGTCAAAATGTGAAAAGCAATGTCTACCTATGTGTTGCTAAATCGATTAATATAACATCCATTGAACATCAAATTGGGAAGAAGATCCAATTTAAGATGCTAGCTCAAGTTCAAGCCAAATTGAATTTAAATCGCTTGTAATTTGTTTCGAATTTATGATAAACAACAATCGGAGAAAACAACTATTGAAGTTGCCAGCTGAAAGATGGTTCAACTTCACAAGGGCTACTTTCCTTGTCTAATTCGACGTGATTTTAACTAAGCAAGAACTGAGCCAAGCCAAGAAATAAAGTTGTTTGAAGTTGGCAAGGATTGACAATTCTGTAGCAAGCGTGCCGAGGAATTATCATTCTTCAATTTTTAATCCAGGGGAAAGACTACAGTTTGTTGAACACTTCAAGCTTTTTCAATTGGGCCTTTGGGCTGGCCACGATTGACGTTTTTCTTATACATGTTTTGGGGAGCTTTCAATCTTCAGGCTTCTTCCCAGGGGGAAACAACTTTCAAGTTTAAGACAACTGTTTTGATTTTTTGGCCAGGATTGAAGATCTTGAATCCTCGATCCACGGAAAACAAGCTTTACTGTTGTTGGACAACTAAGGTGTTTTGGGTGTGGCCAGGATTGACGATTCGCTGAACAGGTTTCTGTACAATCGCCAGTCTTCGATCTAGGGGACAACATGTTTGTGTTGGGAAAATACTGTTTTTTGTTCCACCGATTTGGTCAGTGCTTAGTTTGACATTTGCTGAAAGAGAAGCAAAACCAGGACAATGCCCAAATGACAGTACGAAACAAACAGGAAGGCTGCCTAGCAAGCTAGCAAACAAACAAAGCAAACAAAGCAAACAAAAGCAGCAAAAGCAAGCAGGCAAGCACACAAGCAAACAAACAAAGAAACAAGCAAGCAAGCAAGCAAACAAACAAACAAACAAACAACACCCACCCATGGGTTTCCCTGTCCTTTGTCTCCGGCCGGCTGAGGAAGTACTACCAGTGCGCGCGAGCCTGCTCTAAGAGCTCAGTCTTCGAATCCCGCACTGCCGTGCCTTCAGCTTGGAACTAGCATTTGATTTTTCCGGCTCACTTCCTTGGGTTCTGCTAGCCTCTAAAGGATGACCAGGGTTGAGCATTGACTAGGAAGTTGGTTTGTTGCGTTGCCCTTTTGGTGCCCTTTTGGTGCCTTGTCACATTGGCCAGCCATGTCATTCTTGGCTGGGGCCATTTTGACAGGTCCAGGAGATCCTAGAGAACTTGCGGCAATTTGGCTGCGTCACGGCGGACTGTCTCCCCAAGTGCGCCAACTGCCAAGGCCCGTCTCCGGCCTTCAAAGCGCCACCCCCTCCCGAGATGTCGAAAACATGTGCGGTCAACAGGATCGTAGGGAAGAGGATCGTGAGTTTGTGTGTGGATGCAGGATTTAACAAGGGCTGTGGCAAAGCACTTCGGACAAGTGTAAATGTGGTTTCAACAAACGTGACATGAGGGCTTCTAAGTCTAGGCGGCAATCCGCGCCGAGCAGTTCCCAATTTTGCGATTAGAGCCACAGCTGGGTGGCTTTGTTGTGCAGGATTTTTCGTGGTAGGTAACATGCTCGGGCGTCTCTCAGTTTTCACTCCGCTTCCAGGGAACTCCAAGGAGAAAACCAGCAGGACACCTAGAGGCAACCAATTGTTCAGGCTGTCAGCAGGGTGCACGTTTGTGTTTGCAGACGCTTCCGTCTGTCCATCGCGAGGCGATTGTATTCCCAACGTGCGGCTCAGCGATTCTTTCTGCCACCAGAAGTACGAGCAGAGCCTTCAAGGCTTCATCTCGTGGCTGGAAGGCGACGTGGCATCGCAGCCTAGAGATGTTGCGCCCATTTCTTGCCAAACCTGACGCCCGGGGATTTGTGTTGCAAGGAGGGTCGCGACCCCACAAGTCAAAGGGCACTTAACTGCTTGAGGTGCCTTACGAAGTGCCCTTTGAGTCTTGGGGCAGGATCGTGGGAGCCGAATCCTTCTTGCTAAAATACCACCAAACACCCAGAGAAAACGCCGTCTTTTGTGAGGAACGATTGAACAGAATGTGGAATCAAGGACCTCCAACCTGTTGTTTTCGGCCCCATCAGCCAAAAGGCAAATGTATTGCAAAAAGAAGAGATCTGGGGTTGGAATGAATTCCTTGCCTGCGTAGCCCTTGGTCCAGCAAGGTGTGGCGGCCTCGAAGAGTCGGCTGGCGATCTTGGAGTTGGACACCACCTTTAAGACCAGCCGCCTGGCATCCTTTCCCATGGCCCCTCGGCAAAGCCAGAAAGCAAAAAGGGGGAGGGGGGTTGTGGCCCGAGCTCAGGCCGGTATTTGTCCTCCTCATTGTCCCAGTAGTGTTGCAGTTGTGTTGAAGTCACTCTCTCACAGTGAGGACACACCTTGAATATTGAAACAATCAATTTGGCGAATGGCAGCTCTGAATGCAACTGAAATGCATTCAGGCATATTTTGTGCCATGCCAAGTGCCAAGCAAGAAGCAGAAGCTTGTGAATGGCAAATAGATTCCTGTTATGTGCATGCCGAAGTAGATCAGCATATGATACAATATTGTCTTCGGCATGCGCATCATGGGATATTGTTTTGCGATGATGTTTGACACAACCAATAATTCAGACTCCGGTGCCTGATTGCGAGCGACATCCGATGCTGATTTTTAGGCGTGGCTTGTTGGTCAAGCCGCAAGTGCTGAAGGGGCCAATGAAGCTCCGCAAGTTTTTCCGCTCTCACGGCTCCAAGTGCTGGGCTGTCAAAATGGGTACCGCAAGAAACGGAGAGCTTGGGCATGCCTCCAAGGAGTCCATCGCTGCAGACTTCCCAGGGTCCGCGCTCATCCGCTTCAGCACGGAAAGGCGCGACAAGATCCCCCAAAAAGTATCCAAACGCGTCCAACCCAGAAGGCCACTTTTTTCTAGGGTCGCTGGGCAACTGGGATCTTCTTGCGGATGCTGGCAGCCTTCTTTTCTGGCCCTGTATAATTTAGGTTTCCCCTCCAGAAGGAAGCATAGACACCCTTATGAGATCTTATGAGGAATCATGCCCACGCAATTTCCGTGATTGGCAGATCATCCGGTGAAAGGAACAAGTCCATGCCTGATAGTTCAGCTGTCCCGAGAGGTCTTGGTGTACTTCCACGCTTGAAACCCATGCACTTCCATATGTCTTCACAAAACTGTGCTTGTTTCTTCTGCCTGGCCCTTGGTAACCAGCAACAGTTCGGTGGACGGAAGTTCCAAGCACTCCCAAGCGTTGGGTCCTTCATGGGGAGCAGCCCGGGCGGCCCGGGCGGCCCGGTGAACGGAGGTATCCTTTCGTGCCGGCGGTGTTGGAGCGTGCCGTGGGCATACCAGCAGATACCTTCAAGGAGAGGGAGGGAGGAAGAGACAGGGGGAGAGAGAGAAGCAGAGACAGACAGAATGAAAGAAAAGCAGAGAAAATATGCAAAACAATGAAAATAAAGAAAACTACAAGTGACAGAAAGAAGAACAGACAAAGGAAGGAAGGAAGGAAGTCAGGAAGGAAGGAAGGAAGGAAGGACAAACATAAAATAAGAGAAACGAAAGGATAAGAAGTGAAGTGAAGGAAGAAAAGAAAGAACCAACGCAAGAACAAAAGGAAATACACGCAGAAAAAAATGACAAAGAAACCAAGAAAGAAACCAACAAAGCAACGAAGAGATAGATAAAAGGTTAGGAAAAACGCATGCGAATAATGAACAATGAATACAAACATATATAATAATGGATCAATAAACAAGTAAAAAAAAAGCACGGAAGAAAGGATGGGAGAGAAAGAGAAAGAGAGAGAGAGAGAGAGCGAGGAGAGGTTCCAAATGAGCTGGCGTGAGCCGCTGCTTCTATGATAAGAACTCTGTTGGAGCAATTTGTACAAGCTCTTTTGAAGGCAGCGCTTGCTTCCAACGGGACATGTTCTTCCCCGCAGGATCTGCCGGAGATGCTGGCGCGGGTCAAGAGCCCAGACGGCCACTTGGTGCTGCATGGATTCCTTGTTTGCTGGCGCACAATGGGCTGCGTGCTGTGCAACATGCAAGTAGAACCAGATCCGTCTTGGAAGGTGTGTGTGTGTGTGCCCTTTTGGAAAGGCGGATCTGCCATGTTTGTTTGAAGGATCGTACCTCAACATACAAATGAATATACACAGTGGATAAGTTTGGATTTACTGTGACGTGTTTCCCGCGCAGAAAGGGCAAAAAGCATCCACCGTCCTCTTTCATTCGATCATTCAGGGTGTCAACAGATGTGATATATGCCCCGGCTGGCACCCAATGGATCAACTACTGATATAGTTTAGACCGCGTGGTTCGCTGCGTTTTGGTTCCGTTTTGGGATGACTGGGCTCAACTAGCCAAAGGGTGTTCTTGGGTAAAGTTGGCTAGTTGGACCGAGTTATCCCATTCATGTATATCGCCAACAGGAACCACAGGACCCAAAAGCTTGAGAGGCATCAGAAGGGAAGAGGAAGGCAAAATAGAACAACTAACAAAATGCCTGTCATGGAAATGGCGCAGTTTCTACTTCCATGTCTGTTGAGGCGAGGTTGGGCACACGTATGGTTTGGCTGAATGCGGCTAACTGTTGAGTGTGCTTGAATATTGTGCTTGATATATGTAGCCTTATTAACCTTGATTGGAATATGCTAAGATTGAGCTCCAATAGTCGCATATTAAGCCCTGACTGGGTATTAGCTTCGCTTAGCTTGGCCTTAATGCGGCTTGACATTAAGGCTTTACTAAGCTCACCAGGTAGTCCTTATGATAGACGTGCTATCTTAAATGGACTTCCAGATGCCCCCACTCCCCTTGCCCCCCCCCCCCCCGCAAAGCCGCCTGCATGAGATGGGTTGTCGCGTTTCCCTCAGACTTTATTCTCCCTTTAAAAGTTGAATTTCATAAATTGGAACCGTCATCGCAACTGTATACCCCTGACAGCTGCGTGCGTTTTTGGTGAAGGGCAGCACATTCAGTATTGGGCAACACCAATTGATATTGTAAGTGCTGAATTGCCCAGTTGAAACCGCATGCAGCGTCTCGGCCTTCAACTTCCATTCTGTCCATCGTCATGTCGCAGCACCACAATTGCTGGCTTTGGCATGCTGAAAGACTCGTACATTAATCATATCATCATACGTCCCTCCGAAACTGTCGCAGGTGCCTTCAGCCAAGGTTCATGGGTGTAGCTGAATACTTCAAATACTGCACGATTTCCAACCAATTCGTGTAGCGTGGGTATGTTTTTCCATGCGGACCTGTGGTGGATGTCAAGTTTGTAAGGGGGATTTATTCCACCCACCATGTTTGAGTCGTTTTTTGCATCTATAGCCATTAATATGTTGTTGCACTTATTGTATGTAACGCACATTGATGGATAGACGGATAGATACGTAATATATACATATATATATATATATGGATTGATAGATAGAGAGACATACAGACAGACAGATAGACTATAATAGATAGACAGACAGACAGATAGAAAGACAGATAGACAGATAGACAGATACACAAACAAGTGTTTAATGAAACAATTAATCAGTTAATTATTTAATTATTTAATTGATCAATTAATTCATAAATGAACACATACAACAGTTTTGCAAATACATACACAAAAGTCCATTTCTATGCAGAATCATTCCCAGGTTCCCTTGGGCCCTGGATGTGCTTCCCGAGGAAAGGCCTTGGGTCTCGCCGCGGAGAAGCAGCTCCGCCAAAACTCAGAGGCTCGGAAGAGGCGGGCAGTTCGTTCGGATACCACGGGTTCCGGCTCTTGTCCTGTGCTGTCGAACAAAAGCACCAGCACTAACAAACACAAGTTCAGATTGAAGGTTTGGGACGAAGCTGTTTGGCATCTCTGGTTCAAAGTTAATTGTAAACGCTTCGCGTTGCCCGCCTCGGCAGCATGATTTTGGCCGGCTTTGAGGTAAGTATTGTGTTCGCTTGCGGGTGAGCTGCTTCTCAGGATATAGTGGGCTGGGCTTTCGAGGGGCAATTTGGCTGCGGCAAGTTGACCGATTTCTAGACCGGTCTCTTGGGCAGAGTTGGACAGGTATTTTGACAGGTTTCTTGAGGGAATTTGACCGGTTTTTCAGGGGAAGTTGGACAGCTATGTTTGCTGCAATTTGATTGGCTTCGAAGGAATTTGACAAGTTTGCAGACCAAACGCGCACTCGTGGATGCTTTTCGTGAATCACATAAAAGGTGGCAACGCCCAGTCGTGACGATCCGCGGGAAGCATGCATGTTTTCAATACGGCCTGAAGCAGAGCTTGCTGAAGCTTTACCCGGCAGTTCGCCACGAAGTAGCAGATAGCTATGCACCAGAGCTGCGTGCATCATCGAATCACATGTCCGACCTGTTTGCACCCCTTTCTCCGAGCTTAGAATTCCAGAGTGTGTTCTTGTAATGCGAGGCCGCAGGCAACCTTTCAACGGAGCACCTAATGCACAGGATGCAACGTCAGGCTATGGGCGAACAGCTCTAAGGGTGTGCGATCCGCAGGCAAGAGAAGCCTTTGTCAGTGGAGCCTATCCATTGGCGGAGACGCTTTGCTGCAATTGGGCCTTTCGGTGGGGTCTGGTTTGGCTTTGAATGCAGCTTTTCCTTGCAGTCTGGTCTTTGACAAGCACTCACGAGTGGACGTTCATGACTGATCTTGTTCAAGTGCTTGCTATGGCACTTGGTAGACAATCCTGGCTCAGAGGATCACATGTATCACTCCAATGATGCATTCCGAATGCAAGAGAAGCCAACCGTGATGCTTGCCAAGTAAGTTTGTCTTAGCAGTCACGCAGTGCACGATTGTACGGGTGGCCCCCACATGGGACATAGATGTCCCTGCTGATTTACCGATAGTATCCCCATGCAAAGGTGCCCTGTTTGTGGCACGCATGTGTAGAATGGTCGGTAGCAATGTGTTTTGTTTTGCATGTTGTGCTTTGTAGTTGATGCGTGCCAATTAAAGAAAGCATCTGCCTGTTTTCAACCATAGGTCCTGATAATCCCTTCAAACAACATCTTCTTCTCAAGGGTCAATTACAGTATGAAGAGGCTTTCTTGGTGTTGACTCCACTCTCGAGCTGATTACACTGACCCCCCCCTCCAGCGGCTTTGCAAGCCATCATTTGATGTACAGCATTGGAGGCGGTGCCTTTGACCTGAAGCGACATAGAGAGAACGATGCTACTGACTGACCACAAGTGTTTCCCTTTTTTTTTAATTCAGCATCCTGAACAATCACCTTGCTGGGAGCGGGTCCGTAGCTACCAAGCCAAAACAAAGGGCTCCATCCAAGGCATTATGATGCTGTTTTGTGAGCATTTCTATATTAACATAACATTGTTTTTCGAGGTGAGCGTTCCCTGGGATGCAAGCAAGCTTTCAAGGGAAAAACATTCAACCCTCAACCTCAGGTGGATGTGTAATGAGTGAACCACCCAAATGGGGGGTCCCTTTGGTTTCGCTTGAAATCACCTCAAAACGGGCGCCACAAAGAAGAGACCCAGGTTGCCTATTGTGGCTACCGGGACTCACTGGATGAGGTTTCAGCTAGGGTTTCTCACACTGGTGGACCCTTTTTGGTTGGTTTTGCAGGGATTCCCATTTTAGGAGCCCCCTCTTGAGAAACCTCTGCCTCCGCGGTCTTGGTGAGGAATTCTGCATCACCTGGGGGAGAGTCTCTTCAACTGTGCCTATGAGCGGTGCATGTAGCGATGCACAGCGACGACGGACTGGGAGGGTAGGGAAGAGAGGCACTTAAGCAAGACAAACGGGCTGAACAATAAACACTATATTTCCAATGGTCATGACTTAATTTGAAGCCCCCATCCCAATTACTTAGCCCCTTGTATTAGGATTCTGCCAAAATGCTATGGAAACATGGCAAGCTAAACGCCCTTCTGGTGCTACTGAGTAACCATCGCTGGGGAAGCAGGCATCATTTGGCTTTGAGCACTGTAGTCGTGATCGATCTCTGGCGCGAGCGATACATGTTGTAGCTTCCCCGTTTGCCAGCCTGATTGACTTGTGGCGTTCTGGTTTAATATTTCACAAGGAGGACAACAAGGTTGAGCTTGAATCTTCTTTGCTTTACCTAACTGACTAAAGATTTCGGGTGCTTCGAAAGCCCAGTAATTTCAGGTGTGCAGAACAGCTTGTGTTTGACTTAAGCTTACTTGTTGGAGCTGTTAGGGTCATACAGACTTGACACCACCTCAGCACTGCGTGAAGCTGAAACATATCTCTGTGGCAACATCAATGAGAACCATGAAGCTTTGCTTCTTCTCGTGCGCCCTCTCTTTTTTGCTTTCTCTCTCTCTCTCTCTTTGTGAAGCAGCCGGGTTAGCAAATAATTGTGGGCAGCTTGGTTTCCTTGTAAGAACCAACCACAGACAGAGGCGCCGGTTTTCTTCCCCGGTCCCCCCCTAAAGCAAGAAGCACCCAGCTTGTGCTTAGCGCTTCATTTTGTGACTTTGTTTTGGTTTGTCTCAGATCAGGCCTTTGCAGGACATCATGAGGCGCAATGAGCGGTGTTCATGGGTGCACCCTTCAGCGTATGCCTCTCAGCAAATGCGCCTTTACAGCAACCAACGCAACAAATAAACAGACAGACAGAAACAAGCAAACAAACACGCAAGCCTGACGTGTGCTTGACATCTGAAGGCGGAGCCCATTGAGTTTCTTCCAGGAACGTTTCTGCAGGTCGCCCCCGGTACCAGTGCAAAGGCTTCAGCAAGCAGTTTTACGCGAGGGCTAATTTCATTTTTTCTGTGAATATCCCGAGTTCGCCAAGCATTCATGACCATTTGGCTCATTCAACCCGTCGGTTACATGCAAGCAAGCTTAACCTGCATGGGCTGAACCAGAGCTTGTTGTAGTAGGTGTTCAACCCTTTGGGTCGATTTGCTTTCCCTTTTGAACCCCCTGGTTCAATGTCGCACGCAGGAGATGTTCTTCGCCGGCTTCGGGTCTCACGGGCGTTAATGCTACAGGCGTTTTTTACAGTGGTTGCGTGTGGGAAGGCCACCTTTACAGGCGACGTCAATTTAACATACGCCCAAGTATGGAAGCACTCAGCACCACAATTCACTCTCAGTTGAACCGTTTGAGGCAACATTATAATGCATTCGACTTGCAGGGGTTGTGCTATAATCGTTTGTGTGTGAGTGTTGTGTGTGAGTGTTGTGTTCAGGAATCGAGCAAACATGAATGGGCCACTCCGCCCATTGTCCCCAGCGTTAGGTGGGGCATCAAGAGAACTGATCTCACCCTGGGTGACGTGCGCAAATGGTTCGGAGTATGCTTAACTTACAGATGGAAGCCTCAGACTCGGCAAACAATGAAGGACGTTGTTGACTATGTAGTTTACATTCGCACATCACACAGATTGTCCAAATATTCACATGGTCTGATGCAGGCCAACTCGGTTCACCCGCATCGCCCCTCCAAAGAAGGGCGCGAGGTTTTAGAGTCAATTCGTGCATCGGAAAATGCGAAAAAAGGACCTGCCGCAGAGCTACAGCTTCTACCAACCTCGGGGTGCTGATATATTTTAAGGATGCAAGCTACTGTTTGTTTGAAACCCAGACACTAACGGTTTGGCAGATAGCAAGGGCCCCTGTCTTCCATACAAAGCGCCAGGCTGTGGGAATGTTAACTTGAGTTTCTTGTTGTCCTTTGGAGTTGAGATCAGTACACTGTCATTATGGACAACTTGTGATTGGTCTCATTCCCAGCCAAATGGCCCGTATGGCCCTGAATGGCATTGCTCTGTGTGTGTGAGGGTCTAGCCCCGTTGTGTCAACAGAAGCAGCATGCTAAGCGACAAGTTGGGCCCGAACAGTGGCTCACCAAATGTGTCTATGCATGGCCCAAATGGTAGCACGTGGTCCTTGCGTAAAGTGTTTCAAAGGTCCAGGGGAGTTGCCATCCAAATTACTGGCACACTTAAAGTATAGGTACATCCTAAAATGTGTTGCGCCTCAAAGAACACTGTTTGTTGACCCTGTACAGCGCTGTGCGGTGATGTTTTGTGTATTTGCATCGGAAGCATGAATGAGCGCACATTTTACAACATCGACTTTGGTATCCCTTGTAACTCACACAGGGCACAACCACTTTTGAGGCATTCTGAACCCCTCAATGTGTAGCTTTTACGTGCATGGATTGGAGTGGGCTCGGAGAGGACGAGCTTTACAGAAGCTTTTGGACATCCCCTTCATCTGCCAATAGGTCAACATCACCTCTTGTTGCTGTCGTGAGGATGTCTACATGGATATCCTTGTTGTAGCCGGGGAGCTTTGTTAGAGGTGTTCATCCCCGATCACTTCCGGCAGCCTGCAATCCAAGGCGAAGCCCGTGTCGGGAAAACGTCCGGAGGCGTGTTTGCACCTGGGGAGGTTTGGGCAAAGACGGGCAAAGAGGTCTTTCAACATGACATAGTCCACAACACGATCAAATCCACGTTGGCATTGCGGAAGACAAGGGAAAAAAAGGTAATTAGTCAGCTGATCATGTCAATTTTAGACGGCAGGCAGTTTTCGCCAGTTGAGTACATGAGCCAGCCCGGTGGCAGCTTCAGGGCCTGTTTGGGGTAGCAATTGGCCATGCTTTGTCTATCCTAAGGAGTGGTCTGGATTTGTAGTGGTAAGCTTTCTTGACCAGCAGAGGGAATCTGGCTTCAGCCTCATCAAGAGATGTTGCACGCGCAAGAGGGGGGAAGTATGAGGCCACCATTCCATAGCATTGAAGATTGCAACAGCAAATAAACCACAAGCACACTGATGAATGCTGGCTTAGCTTTCCAGGATGTTGCCATCAGCGCAGCTTATGCTATGGCTGGCTGCCATTACACGGAGATACGGGGAGAACTCGTCTTCAAAGTATCAGGAAGAGATTATCAACTTGTTGAAACCCAATGTTAGACATTGGAAGTACTTGTGGTGGGCAAGGAAATTGTTTTTGATCCGACTCGGTCAAGAGGGGCGCTTTTGCCGTTGGTTGGCAGCTTTGCTTTGGGGTTGCAGCACATGCCAGCGGCAACCTCTCAGTTTCAATTGGCGGGGTCACATGGTCAGCCCCGATGTTCGACCCTTCGGGTGAAGAGCTGTTCCAAATGATTAGAGCCACTGGTGTGCATGCGGCTTGCCGGATCTCTGGGGTCAATTCTGGCTCGGGCGGTTTATAGTTTATACAAAGTCAAGATCCAAAAGAATGAAGAGCTTGCTTAGTGGTCTTGTGGCAAAGTGAGTAGTCCATGCCTACCGCCAAGACAAAAGACACGAGCGTGCGGAATGCTCGAGTTCACTAAAGTGGAGAGTCCTAGCGAACCTTTACAAACATGTTTTATTGTGTTGGCGGAGGTCCAGAAATCCAACTGGGCCTACCCCTCGCCTAGGTGACTTCGATTTGTTTCACCCCCCAACCTGTTTGTTATGCCCGGAAAGCAGGTGAAATACATGCCAGGCACGGTTTGGGGCTGCCAAAACAGGGGGTGCCGCCTGCGTTGGACATTCGGTCAGGGGCTTTCAAATGCAGAGCTGGAGACCCTCGAAGCGAGGGGCCCCGGATGAGCTTCAACTGGTGGGAGGTGTCCTGGATTGGTGTGAAGGTGGCTGTTGACCTCGTCTCAAGCCGCATGTTTCGCGTACGAGAGCCTTTCTGCTAAGTATCATCGATCATGGCTAAGCGGCTATGCGTATAGTATGGTTCAGGGGACCTCGAACCGGGTTGAAAAACGAGTTCCAGCTTGCAACAAAGGACCGTAGCACCATGTAGCAAATTTGTCAGAAATGGTGTGCCTTGCTTGTTCCCCTCCATGTGTTTCCGAAAAAGACTCCTGCACCCCTGAACCGAACGAGCCCTCCAAACTTGATGACAACCAGCCTCAAAGCCACCTAGCCCTAAACCAACCCCAAGCATAATGAGGACCTACCGACCGTGACATTGACGGCAAGGAAAGAGAAAGACGGGGTTTCTCCACTTTGGACCTTGTACTGATGAATATTGCATACATTTATAACATGTATTATATGTATATTGATAGATACACATATACATCGATGCATATGGAATGGATTGTCTTCAGGGCTTCGGCTTCGTCACAGAGCCGTGACGGACTTGCGTGACTTGCCTCGTTGCATGCCTCGTTACATATCTCCTCTCATACTTTGCGTGTTGCCTGCACTATCTGCACATTTTTGTATAGTTTGCTAATACTACCACTACCACAGTATATGTGCTGCCACCACTGCTACTACGGCAGTAGCAAGCCCGTCAAGACCTATGATTTCTGTCATTAAACCACCTGAGCCCCACTTTCAGGCTTTTGCCTGGGCACCGGACACGTCCCCGTTTGTGTTGCCCGCGTGGTAAAGCCTGGGCCAGGCTCACCCAGTGTAAACAGCAACCCTGAAGCAGTCGAAATCCATGACCGGTTTGTCCCCCTTTTTTTTGTGAGTGTTTTTTGCCATAGTCGAGTCACGTGTTTACTTGGCTCGAAAAAGGATTGGTTTCATAGGTTTGTTGCACAGCCATTCAAAGACTAAAGCAATTCCACAAGCAACACTTCCACCAGACCATGATCCGCGGAGTGTGTTCATAGCACCTTCCCTAGCGCATCCAGCTACCACTGTACAACTATATTGCAAGCACGCAAGGATACTCTACGTCCAGGTTTCTGCTTATTTGTTCTTTGGGGGCAAGTGGATCTGGGTTTGAAGCCGATCTCAGGCGAAGATCCGCAGCCTGGAGAAGGTCGAGCGCCGAAGCTTCTTGCATGCCCTGCCGAAGGCCGGGATCGTCGATACTTATAGGGGGATTTTCTGTGCAAGCTGCTGTAAGCCCAACCAATAAAAGGAACACACCCCTTTTCGGGTCCCTGAAAAAGTCCGCTTTCGTTCCTGCAGCCCGACCTGGGATGGGCAAGGGAGCAGGAGACGTTTCAAACTTCAAGTCCGCAATGTAATCATGAGAGTTCAGCGAACTGGACGGGAAGGAATATGGGCGACCTGGACTTGTTATCTCACATTTGACATGGTGATATACTCTTGCTGGACCACGTGGTCAAATTCTTCAGCATCTAGGTTTTAGGACCTTGTGTTTTTCAGCATGCTGCAGCCAGGAATCAGGAATTCTGAAGATTGTCCAGGTTAAACTTGCCCGTTGTTCTGTTTCATGATCCCAATGAGAAATTGCCTACGGTATTGTCACCTGGCTTTGCCAATGATGATGCTGCTTGCTGACGATGATGATGATCAAGTGTGACCAGGAGTTCTGGAAAGGGAACTCTGACCTCCAAAACCACTGACAACAAGTGACTAGGCCACCGACAGTTCCCTGCTTGGCCTTCCTAAAAGAGGGTTGGGCTGTAAGATGAGCTGCGTTAGGCTGGTCAACGGACAGGACACTTCATCAAAACCAACGGTTTGTTTACCAGCACTGGTTTCCCTTTTAGTGGGGAGTTGCAATGTTTGAGTAGCCCTACTGTTTTCCTTTAGGTGCCGTGTCCCGCATGAAGGCTCGGCTTAGAAGACTCCTGGAATCGATATGTTCCATGAATTTCAGGGAAACTAAGGGCCTGTCGCAAGCTGAGCATCGAAGGTCTTTGGCAAACTAGTTTCCTTTTGGGGAACGCCCTTCTCCATTTTCATGACTCTTGGTGACCCCCCAAAATTGGCGTTGTTTTCTTTTGGTTTCCCGTTGAACCCCAGGAGGCACACTCTGCCATTGCAGGAGACCAAACACGCGCTTCAAACGCTCCTCGGTGCGCAAGTAAAAATCGTGGTTGGGGATTCGAAGCAGAAAGAGGCACAGCAACCAGGAGTCCATTGATGATAAATGTTTGTTGTAGCTTCTGCTTGCCAGGAGAACATCATTGGGTTTCAAGCTGGGCGACTCATGGTAAATAAAGGGGGCGGGGTGGGTCGGTAGAGAACATCGCCAGGGCGCTTTCAGTGGTGAACTAGATTTCGAGATTGCTGAAGAACTGGGGCATGCGTAATGCGCATGTTTTATTTGTGTGTGTGTTGTCCGGGACAAGCACGTTGAACAGCGATGCTTGGCCGCCTTTTTGTTTGTCACAAGCCTAAGATTTGGCAGCAATCGCCGTGCACTTCCTGTAGTATGTGCTGCTTGCCTATTCTTTGGTTCTTAACATCTTCTGAAGTGCGAGTGAACATGTTTTATGTGGTTGTGTAGGCTGTTTGCGCTGGATTGGGTTGGAGTTCCATTAAGTCTTTTCTTCAGGTTGGATGCGCGTGTATCAATCTAGTCTACGTTACGTTGTAGTTAAAGAGAAAGAGTGTTGCGTTCTAATCTCCACTCTACTTGAAAAATGGGCTAGCCGGAGCCGCCTGTACCTGTTCAAGCCGGGAGGGAACACAGGAATCCATCCATTTCACGTCATGAACGCTATCAGCAACATCTTTAGGAAACAGAAGCCGAGTCGATAAAGATGCGTTTGGCAGCACGCCCTGCACGTGTTCCTCAAGCTAGCGACTCTAAGGAAGAACATCCAAACCATGACTGCGTATCAATGCGTTGCTTGAAATGCAGGTGCAGGTTTAGCAATGTGCTTCAAGCTTTGCCCTCACTCGCCAATTGAACAAAACACTCACCAACCAAAAACAGTCAATTGAACCTGTATGCCAGCAAGCAATACCCAGCCAACATGCAACTGAAGACGGCAATCAACTGTTTATGCCGACCGACTAGCGTACTTTGCCACGGCCGCACGCGTGGTGCTCCATTGTCACAATGGCTCCAAGCAGTCATTTGCATGCCTGCAGATGATGGGAATAGTTCCTGCAGCCTGTCGTGTTGTTTGCTTAGAAGGCGATGGACACTCGGGCGGTAAATGATTTTTTGACGAGCTCTTCCGAGCGGAACTTCAGCCGTGTCAGAATCCGGCTTAGTAAACCGTTCGATGATGGGTTGCATTCCTTAGCATTCCTGGAGATGACGGAGGCATTTCGTTTGTCAATGCTTTAGTTGGTGTGTTTGTTTGTTTGTTTGTTTGTTTGTTCGATTGTTTGTTTGCTTGTTTGTTTGGTTGTTTGTTTGTTTGTTCGATCGTTTGTTTGCTTGTTTGTTTGGTTGTGTTTTGTTTGTTTTTCCGATAGTTTGTTTGTTTGTTTTGTTGGTTTGTTTGTTGTGTGTTTTGGTGTGTGTGTGTGTTTGTTTGTGTGCTTGTTTGTTTGTGTGTGTGTGTGTTTGCTTGCTTGCTTGCTTGCTTGCTTGCTTGCTTGCTTGCTTGCTTGCTTGCTTGCTTGCTTGCTTGCTTGCTTGCTTGCTTGCTTGCTTGCTTGCTTGCTGGTTTGTTTGTGTTTGTTTGTTTGTTTGTTTGTTTGTTTGTTTGTTTGTTTGTTTGTTTGTTTGTTCATTTGTTTCTTCGTTTGTTCGTTTGCTGGTTTGTTTGTTCGATCGTTTGTATGTTTGTTTGTTTGTTTGTTTTGTTTTGTTTTTGTTATTTTTTTTGTGTGTGCGTGTGTCTTTGTGAACTACGCGTGTGACATCAAAAAAGGGATCGTCCGCCTTCCAAGGTTTCTGCAATCCAAACGGGCTGCAAGATAGGTCAGCTGACCAGCGGCCAAAAGCGATTGCTCATGGTGATTGCCAAAGAACATTGAGTGCGCCGGGTTCCAACGTTTTTTCAATCGATTGCTCGTTGGTGATTGCCAAAGAACATTGAGTGCGCCGGGTTCCAACGTTTTTTAAGCCAGTTTAAATACCACTTTTTGCCCATGGATGCGGGCCGATCCGCAGGTCAAAGCCATTCTTGGAGCGTCTTCGGTGTATCCCTTTGAATGAGTTCGAAAAGGGGTTTTAGCAGAGCGGGTGCTAGTCGAGTAGTGTATGTTCTTCATTGTCGTCTTGAGTCAAGGCGAAGATGAATGACTGCTTGGCTCACTCCAGTATATACTGCTAATGAGGGTTCGATTCTAACTCAACTTTAGAGCCTCCGGCTCAGTCCGCCGCCATTGACTGACTTGGTCAGACCGGGTAGTCCGGAATACGAAGGATAGCGTGTTGGGTTGGGGAAGGGTCAGCTCGACCTCGGCACGCAGGGGTTATTATCTGTAAGCAGGCTCACTGTCTGCTATCCACGTCTTCGTGGTGTTAGAGGTTGAGCTGACGCGGTGAAAGTACTGTCCAAGCCATTGTGTGTTTGCATCATGCAGCCACCGAAACCGCTTTGCTTTACTGGATCACGTACAAGGAGATCTATTTTTAAGGGGAACCCGAAAGGAGTTGATTCTGCCACGTGGCAGAAGTGAAATCTCTGGGGAATGCAAACGAAACGGAGTTTCTGTACAAGAGTTGTGGTTTTAACATTTGGAAACAGGGGGCGCCAGTTGCTGAAAGGATATCCTTGCGCACGGCGATATCTGGGTGTGCGTGGCCGCTCTGGTGCATGTTGCAGCAGTTGCGATTTGGCGGGGCGGCAGCTCGGTGAAGGACTCTGCGAGAGAAGTAACTTTCTCGCTGGTGAGAGAAAACGTGTGGTGCGCCACTCACCGGCAATAGACATAACTTTTTAACCTCAAAACAAATGTGGTGGCTCACCAGGCATCATCGTTTGGTTGCCACCGGCTCGCCACTCATCGTCAACGGGCCACTTCCGGACGCAATGTGGCGAGTGAAAACATTAGCAGCATGCATTCTGTGTCGGTGTCCGCTGAGGGTTGACTGGCGCGCGATGGGCATTGGCGGGGATTTTGCCTCAGTGTGATTGGAGGCAGCGGGTGATTTACATGGCTGGAGACCGTTTTGTATCGGAGCAGCACCGTGGGCACAGATTACCTTTCGCTCACGGCATTGGAGTCCTTCGTTGTACAAGCGGGCTGTTGGCGTAGGGCGGCGCTGACTGCACGCACGAAGAGCGACAGCGGCTCGGGTCCGGACGAGTTCTTTGGACGGTGCGGGCTGCGAGGAACGGCCACGGAAGCACTTTGATGAATCTGGTGCGGCGGCAGGACTCGAATTCCGACAGCTGCAAGCGGAGAGACTCCAGCAGCATGGCCGGAACGCGCGCGGGGGACCGCGACCAACTGGCGGATGCGACTGAAGCCACTCTCTGCGCCCGCATAGCGGTTGCTTCTTCGGCTGCGTCGAAGAGATTGAGCAAACGGGCATGGTACGTGCAACGCTGGGATTGCAGTGACGGCTGGAGACGTCCCTTGGGACGGCTGAGAAGGTTGTGGTTGACCGCCGTATGTCTGGCTTAAGGGCAGCCCCGACGGCGGACTCGTTGTCCGAGAGCTCGACGGCGGAGGAGGCGGGGCTAGACGCGTTGTCACGCCGCGCGGTACTGGCAGCGCTGGACTTGCGAGCGAAGGACCTCAACGGAGGCGAAGGACGCGCTCCTGTCCGACGTGCGCCGCAAGTGGCAGAGCATCAAGAATGCGTCTGCGCAACTTGGCATGCAGTATGTTCCCTTTGCTGACCGACAGCTGCCTAGCAGCAAGTTTGGGAGACTTCGGGTTCAGTGAACGCTTGGACCATCGCAGCAAAGGTACGTGATGGCGCGAGTGCGAGAGCAACAGCCTGGAGGTGGCGAGACAGAACGGCGGAGCACGCGGCCAAGAAACGCAGCCGAGGCTCTGGAGGCAGGGGCAACCGGAGGCACCGAGACGGCACCAGGGAGACATCACCCCCACAGACGGCAGCACATCGCTTGAAATTGAAGTCTCAGGGGCAACATGCATCCGTTGCGCGGCAAGTCGTTTCCTGCACCAGTGAATGTGGGTCAGTGAAGAGGTCGTGTCTTGAACGCACAGGCAAGAAGACCGCATGCGCCACCCCGCCGCTACAGCTCCGCCCGCGCGACGCAGGCGGAGGCGGGAAGCATTAAATAGGAACAGGCGTGCCAATTCAGGACCTGCGCTGTTGACGCGCCCTCGCTGAGATGTCTGCGAGGTCGCGCAGATCGCCGTGACGAGGCCGCTTGGTTTGGCTTCTGGCTATAGACGAACGCTCGCTGGCTCGAAGCCCGCAGCCGTGGCAGAGATGGACAAGACCGCCGTGGCCGTACCTGTGCATGCCAGACCGATGCGAAACTCCAAGGGGTGCGCCTGGACGACAGGGTTTTTGCCCATGGGTTCTGGCCGAGTTTCGCACAGAGGACAAGTGGAAGACCGTGGGTCCTCGTTTCCTAGCAAGAGGCATGCCATGCCGCTCTCGCCGATTGCAAGCAAAAAGTATGGATTGCAGCACTTCTTTTGGCAGGGAGCCGGTCGCCTGGAGACTGGCGCATGGCACCAAGGACAGGAGCGTTCTGCCCAGGAAAGCATTGCAGGCAGGGAGAAGGTGTGTCCATTTTGTTCGTGCAAGGTTCCGTTCTGTCTTGCTTTCCGTTTGTCATGTGCTCTGCGCGGTAAGTCTTTCTGCCCGTCCGTCTTTCTATTTTTCTTTCTTTCAGACTGGCCGGCCGTCCGTCCTTTTCTGTATGTCCAGGCTGTTCCAGTTCTGCAAAAATTCTGCGCCCGCCACAAAGCCTGTACTTGACTAGAAACGCGAACAACTAGGTGCGCCGGCTACGCGATTCTCGCCACCGTTCTCTAGGTCTCTCTCGCAGTCCTTCTCTCTCCTCTCTCCATCTCTCTCTCTCTCTCTCTCTCTCTCTCTCTCTCTCTCTCTCTCTCTCTCTCTCTCTCTCTCTCTCTCTCTCTCTCTCTCTCTCTCTGTCTCTCGTTGCTCCGTCTTTTGTCTCTGCCTCTCTCTTTATCTTTCCGCCATCCATCTAGCTAGCCAGGTAGCTATCTCTCTAGCTACGTAGCCACTGCCTAACAAGCCACCACGTGACTTCGCGAAAGGCCATGAAATCCATCGCCAGGACCTCCCCCCAACAGCGCTCACGGATGCCAGCGCAAGAGCCCCGAGGCCAGCGGCCAGGGGTTTTGCTTGGCGGGAACCATCCGTTGGTCGGTTGTCAAGTGTCTGTTTTTGAGGCTACCCGTTTTGAGTTGGTTGGACGTCCAAAAACACAGAGTTTTTCCAGATTTTCGGCAAAAGGAGGCAGGAAGCCCAAGCCAGCAAAAGAGCCGGCAGGGGGAATCGAGCCTGGGACCCCTGTTTTGCGACACCGACTCCCCGAAGACTACGTTTAGTGGAACGTCATCAAATTGCCGCGCGGTACGTGGGGCCTCCGGAAAAGGGGTTATCCTCTATCCTCCAGTAAGTATCCGACACGCCGAACAATGTCGGCGGATATTTGGTATGATTATGTTGCTTTGCTTTCCAGCGCCACCCAATTTTGCAATCGCCTTGATTGCAGAAAATGTCACCCGTGAGTTGCATGGTCTTACAGCTGGAATTCCGCTCTTCGACGCAGTGGTGGTGACAGCGAAAACCCGCAGCTGTTGGGCTCTCGGCACTTCCAGGCAAGCGCCGAGGCGAGGCTTCGTGTGTCAAGATGTCTCCTGGAAGTCGGAACCCCGGATTTTGCGTTCGTTCACGCGTTCGAACTCCCGGAAAAAAACAACAACTGCGCATCCTTTTTCCAGGGGACCTGAGCGAGCTCCGATCTTGCAATAAAGGACAATCATGCGTGTAGCATCGCAGGAACCCAATTGTTTACCAATTTTGGGTCACCTAAATCAAGAACAGCTTTTAGAAGCTTTCAGCAGCCAAACAAGTAAAGGGTTCAACTGGCACTTGTCACTTCTAGGCTGGCATCATTTGTGCCTGACATGGGCATTTGTCATAAATGAAATCCCTTCAGCCGGTTGGTATCATGTTGGTGTTCTTTCAAAGACAGCCACCACAGGGCCGCAGGCTTGTGTGGTGTTCTTCCTTCCAATCGGGTAAACCATGATGACGCCGTGTAGATGTCTGCTTGCAGCATGACGGTGGTGCGTTGTTTTGAGCTACAAAAACAATTACAAATCAAGTTAGCTGAGAGCCGCCGAGAGTCTCCATATGGCAAGGAGAGTTGGCTACAGGGACGAAGCTAGATCCATTTGCTATTTAGGTGACCAAATCAAACGGAACACTAATCAAGGATCAAGCGATTTAACATGTGTATGTGTACTCTTCGTCGTATAGGTGGTACAAATACCATGAATATGTTCATGTTGGTATGTATCAAGACAGGTGGACTCTCCAAATTGGGTGGTTTGCTCCTGTATCAACAAAGGGTACCCTGAAAAGAACAAATACACACACACACACCCACACGCACATACACACACACACACACACACACACACACACACACACACACACACACACACACACACACACACACACACACACACACACACACACACACACACGCATCTTGATACCCATCTATATTGGAGGAACCGGATTTGGCTCCAGGGCCGAGCTCCATCGAGCTCCAATCATGATGCCCCTGCACTTTTGCTCCCTGAAAGTGGTTGCATTGTGAGGGTCTCTTAAAATATTTGGTTGTTTGTGTTTGTTTAAATCATCATTTAGAGGACAATTCTGAAGGTGTCGCTTTAATGGGCCCAAAGGGATCTGATATATTGCGCCACATGCAGCCGGGGATGTCGGTGTTGCTCCGGTTCACATTTTGGCGCCCAGGCTAGAAGCATGCTTTCCTCCCCTTCTGAGATCAAGGAGCACATTCATGCATGGAAATTGGGGTTTAGCCTTTTTAGATTGATCGGAGGCCAGTGATATTCAGAGTGAGCGAGTTCAGTCCACATGGTGTACCCATTTTGGGGTTGTTTTGCAAGGGAAACCATAAGGAAGCCACCCATGATTTGGGGGGGTTCCCCACTTGGAGACGACCCAATGTGACTTTGGCGCAACGCAATATGAGAGTGCTTGACATGCCATACAGCCAAACATGGCAGAATACCAGAGCACTGTCACACAAGCTACATTGACCTCAGTAGCACGAGGGACCAGCTATCCCGCGAGCGCTGGTGCCATGAAGCGGCCTGCAGCAAACGGAGTTGAGAATGGAACGCAGCCGGGCTATATAGAGCGTTCTCTTGTGTCGGCCTTTGCTGTCGCTGCAGGGGGACTATTCCATGCTGCAGATGTTGTACTCTCGGCGTTTGCTGCCGTATGTTGTTTCTTTGGATCGCTGGGTCGTAGGCATGCAGACCTTCTTGGTCATTTGGTGCGTTCAACGCCCACTCGATGTGTTCCAACGGACATTTTCTGTATGGAAGCTAGCGTTTGCATGTTTCGCCCATGCGGGTGCTTGTCTAGGCAACCTGTGGGTTCACCAAAGCTCGCCTTCCAGCTTGGGCTTTTACCAAACTGGGAAACTGAATAGGCGGGCCAGATTTGTGTTCTTTTTTCCTGACAGCTAGGTGGTAATTTCAAGTCATGTTTGCACATGGCAAGGCACTTTTGAACCTTATCGTTCAACTGTTAGTTAAACACCCAACAATTCAACTACCCACTTAGACATGAGTGGTGTGGATTTCTGAAGCAATTCGTAGATAGGCACACCAATGCTGACAGTTAAGACCCGATTTGCGCTGCACGTCCTGCATTCTGGCATAGCAAGATGTGTTCAGCTCGTGCAACGTGCGGCTCATGAACATCTCAAATGCGTGCTGACGAAGCAGGAGAAGATCAAACAGACAGCCTGCCTGGTTACCCATGTTTGGCTGACCTTACTATACGTCGACCAACTATTTCGGCAATTTGGAATCAGGAAAGCCTGCCTTCGAAGGTACCCCTTGATTGAATGAATGTGACTTAGCTATATTGACATCCTTTTTTGTGTGATCAATTCAAGAGCCAATATGCCCCGGGCCCTGAGTGCCGTTTATGGCTTTATTTCGGAATTCTGCTTTGTTGTTGCTTCAATGTTCAACAAGCAGCAATCAAAGCACGCGTTTTCCATTTTCAATGAACATTTAGAAGGGATTAGAAGGAACTGTTGTAGCACTGGAACTAATTGATCTAGGTCTCTCTAAGAATGCATGAACCTGCGAATGATGTTTTAGATTAGATGCACCTGGGCGGAAAAAGCTCCTAAAAAGACTGGACAACGCAGGAAATGGGGAATAGAAGCGAGCCAAAAGCGCGGCCCTGGCCATGAATTCGGTTTTTCCGCGTGTGCGGAACCACCTTGGTTGCGACGGCTATTTGGAGGCGGCTTCCGAACGTGCTCGGAACGGGTTCGGAACGGGTTCGGAGACGGGCCCATTGCGTGGCGCGCGCAAGGCTTTTTTTTGCTAGTCATGCCATAAAGCAAGCATTGTGTATCAACACGGCCATCATTTGACCAACGCGTTTGCCCAGCGCAAGCTGCCCCTCCTTGTCCAAGCAACAGCTCCGACGTCGGCAGAGCCCCGCCTAAGGAAGAGGCAAACAACAGGCCGTGTGATGCACATCTACATGTGTGCGGGCCTTGGCGCCCGAATCGGTGGCAGCAGAGCCAAGGACTATGATCGACATTTGCTAAAATAATAATAATCAAAAACGCAATGGTGATAGCTTTGACGCAAGGTGAGCCATACCCTTTCAAATTAGTTGCATCAGATCCACTTGTTCACTTGTCGACAACTGCAAACTGCAACTGGCATTGTTCATAGCGCACAAGTGGCTCAACCCAAGTTGCTCAGCAAGGTTCACCACTCAGACAAAAGACCACTGATCAGGGCTTTTGTTTGGGGCAAATGAGAAGCAGACCCTCTTTGACATTTGGCTTTGGTTGGCGCGTTGTTTCAATGTCAAGGCCCCAGGTGATTTCTGCGCTCATGCAAACGCGCTTCTTTGGACCAACCCACCCACCCACTCCAAAAAAAGATGAACTACAAAGGGGATACTGAATGCGCATTCCATGCTCCACAAAGGCCAGCTGCCGCCTGAGACACATAGAAGCACGGACCTGGAGAGACACAGACACGTCCAACATCCACATCCCAATTTCAGCATGTTTGACTTGTTGGGAAATTTGATGTGTCAACGCTCATTCGACCCATGTTGATGGTGGACATTTCCTCTCCAACGACACCATGTACCTTGGTGTTCAGCTTTTAGCACAAACTTCTAGACATAAGCGACAAATGGTTCCGGTCATATCCGATTAACTCCAAAACTTGTTACCACTGTTTACCTCACGCGCAGGAATCGGAAGAGGCTAGAAGGCCTGCAGCATTATGTAGCCGCTATACTAAGCGCGATTACAGGCAATTTGTCCTTGGGTCAGGCAGGGTCCACAGCAGATTCTCCAAACAGATACCCCGGGTGTAAATAGGTTGTCTGGAAGCGAACTAGGGCCTAGGCCAAAAAACAAGTTCCCATCAGTCCATTTGTGGTTTCCTGTTGGGAGGCAAGCACACTCTGGAACCAAATCCGTTTAACTCGGTGACTTGTCTCATGCGTCGGAAACGATTCCCTCACAAGCGGAGGCCGGCACGGCACCACTACCTGGAACTTGGCGAAGAAGTGGCAGGCAGGGTTGGTTGCCAGCCCCTTTTGGGGGAGAAACAATGAGGTTTGACCCCAACTCCAACCCCCAACCTCCCCTAAAGCCCTATGCGTCCATTCCTCAAATGAAGGTGGTTTTCTTTCACCTGTGGAGAAATGGCCGGAACACGAGACAAGGGCCCCGACCCCCCGACCCCCCGGGCGAGTCCCGAGTCCTATAGGGCCAGACGGACACGGAGCTCGCGCCGGTGGGGCTGCAGCAGGCCGAGGACACCGCAGAGCTGCTCCGAAAGAGGCGACTTTCTCGGGGTCCCCGGCCGAAGCTCTCGAGCGGTCGCATGAGCAGCGGTCAACCGTTTGATGTGGTCAACAGTTTGATGTGTGCAGCGGTACCCAAGGTGGTCCCATTTTTGTAGACAGCCACAAAAAGGGTACCCTCACAAAAGATAGACCTGCAGTTTCACTGGCAGCTACGGTTTTTAAAAGGGATGGGGCACACGAGCCCCAGAATACAGTTTGTCACAGGGAGACAAGACTGAATATTGACCGTGGCTCACCACAACTCACTCATCTATGCTGTGAAGACCATCTTAGTGGCAAACAACAAGTTTGGATTTTTGCGGCCAAACCCACTGTCTTTGTGAGCCACCGTCCAAGCTTCGGATACATGAAGATTGGTCAAGGACAGTTCGTAAAGTGTGGAAAGTCACTTTTCAATTTGTACTTGGTTTTGCTTACACTGCTTTTTGCCAGGTCCAGGTGTTGATTGTGATTCACATAGGGGTTCATGGGGACATGTATCCATCTTCATCCAAAAGATCCTACGACTACTTGTTTTTGTTGGCACACTCCACCAGGCTTTACCAATAATCATTCATGGCTGGGACGAGGCTCCTGTAGTAGTTTACGATCTGGGAAGCCTTGTAGTGACTTCAGCAGATCACGCACGCAAGTCGCCGAACAATGTACATGCAGGTGTTGCCCTTTGGCGCAGCTTCAAACTTAGGATGTTGAATGCAAGCTCCCCAAGTTGCGATTTGGCGCCCGGACAAGCTAACCTGGTGGGTTTGAATCGACTCCTTACAATGAAGCAACTCCTCATTTTACGCCAACTGTCCGCTTTTTTCCCGCTGAGTTTCTCAGCAACTCCCCAGGCTCAGCCCGCGCCCGGCGCCGCGGGTCTTCTGCTCGGACCTGAAGCGCGCCCAGCGCACCGCGGAGATCTACGCGGAGGCGCTGGGCTCCGAGCTGCGGGTGGAGCCGCGGCTGCGGGAGCCCAGCCTCGGGAAGTTCGAGGGCATGACCAAGCACGCCCCACGCCGCAAGCGGATTTGGGTCCACGGCAGTCTTTTTTTTAAAAAAAAAGAGGTGTGGGTAGACGAAATATAATGGAGCAGAGTCAGAACATGGTTTTTTTCTGGGTACCCCAGATGTTGGCCAGTTAAGGGTCCAAACGGCAGCAAGAGAGGCTCAAACAAACAGAGTTCTGGACATCACTTAAAGCTTTCTAATATCCCATGACAAAAGTCCTTTACTAGGGGGTCCTTTATTGCAAGTTTTTGGAATTGTGGAATTCAGTCAACCAACCAAAGAATAGTAATGGGTGCACAGACAAGTCAGGGAGTGCATTGGGGGGTCAATGAAGGGCAAGTAGGGGTCAATCACTTGCTGGTTCGCAGTTGGGAATGAGTTGGAATGACCCAGAGCTGAACCTTCCATTCCAACACCCCTTGGTGGTTCCTGACAGAAAACCAGAATGCCCCACGGCCTAAGTAGCACCTGATGGATGGGCAGGGGGGGTGGGGTTCCACACATGTTCATTACACGCACTATGCACTCATGGTCGTGAGTCATGAGTTAGTCATGATTTGCCTTCAAAAACGCGCAGCCATGCCAATTGCGTGACAAGATGGGGTGAATGATGCAGACACATCTAGAGAAGGGTCCTCCCTATGTCCATTGGGCTCCAACGCGCTTGATCTGAGGACATCTACTCCCAGTACGCGGAGCTCTTTAAGCGCTTGGCCAAGATGGACCCTCAGGAGCGGCTGCGGCTTGACGCGGCTTTGGGGGGGTGGCCTTTTCGGAGTTGTGGCTCGAGACGATTCTCATCATGTCTATTTATCCGAATTGTTATTGCATTGTTTCCAACTGCATTGTGAATCCGAGTTCAAGGGAGTTCAAGATGAAGTAGAGTAAACATCAGTCATCAGCATGAATGTTTGTCAACCGCAATCCTTTCTGGAACCTTTGCACCCAGAGGCGAACACGACACAGGGACGGGAGAGACAGATCCAGGAGCTGCTTCTAATGGACAGCTATCGTGCGCCCAACACCATACGTGCTGTGTGAGGATATGAAGACTCCGACTCCCCTCATAGACCAAGCCCGGACGGGGTCCGAAGCTTTTGGCGTGCTGGTCGCACGACTCTCGATTTCGCGCTTTCTTAATAGAACCGGACACTTCATTACCTCCATGCGCACTGTATCGACAGTAGCTAAAAACACCCAGCTGGCCTTGCTTTCCAGGCGCCTGGCCTTATGTGCTTGTTTGGACGGGAACCATGAAACCCGCACCCGTCCAAGGCACGAAGCCTACTTCGAGGGCTTGGAAACACCGCATGAGACCGCGGCGCGGGCGACCGCAGCTGCCAAAGAGGTCTTTGCCAGCGCAGAGGCTGGGGCCTTTGGGCTCGAGAAGCTTTCTGGTTGATGTCTGCTTGCTTGGATCTGATTGCAAATAGTCGCGTGCTTCTATATTTGGGACACGGTTTGTCAAGTTGGTCCCAAGCCCAAATTTTGTTGATGTCCTTGTTTGTAGAAATACCTGTTATGTGAAAGCACTTTTGTTGACGCTTTGTTGGTTTGTTTCTGCATGTGTTGCTCGAAGCATTGTTTGCAGGCCCCAGGTTTCAGCTCGGTAGTCGCTGAACACTTGTCCGATCATGGGTGTTTGCACTAACATACAATGCTTACTGGGCACAGCGAATTGATCGAGCCTTCTTTCGAACTGGCCTGGTGCACAGTTGGGCTGAAAGCTTTGACTTGAACATTGACGATGTTGGTAGATACACACACACATACACTTACACTTACACATACACTTACACATACACTTACACATACACTTACACACACACACACACACACACACACACACACACACACACACACACACACACACACACACACACACACACACACACACACACACACACACACGCAACCGCACGGTCAATGCTTGCGCCCGTGTCAGGGCTTGATCAAACAGGACCTTTTCTGAAGAGAACGCATAACTTGTTTTATTTACCTGCATAGCGAGTTGCAAGTATGAACTGAACGGGTGCTAACAGCCTCAGCCACGTCTTTGGACTGGAGGGGGTGATTTGTTGTGGCGCTTTCAAGCCACAAGGCTTTTTGCGTTGACCAACCCCTCTTGAATCCCAATGTTCTCTTTTTGGAGCTTCAGCTGGCCCCCGATCCATGTGCGCCTTTCAGATGATGCCCAGCTCAAGGCTGTCTTTCCCAGGACGGGGAAGCAGTGCTCTTTGTGACCCACAGCAAAGTCCTGGAAGCTGTGCTCGCGCAAGTCTTCGGGAAGTTCTACGAAGGGGCTGCTCGGCACGGCCTGCTACTTTGAGCGGATGTTTCCAAAAAGGCTCAATTGTTCAGTGGCGGTTTTTTTCTCTTTTGCTTGGCGGGTTCTCCACGCAAAATAGTCACACCGAGAAAGTCAAGGGTTGCTACTTGCAAAGTGACCTTGATAAGTTTTGAGCGCTGATTCTTTGGGCGGCCCCCCCCAGGCAATCAGGTCATATCGTGTCCATCATGCAGTGATGGTTGCTTGGTTTCGGCTTGATACCCTACCGGACAGACATCCCCTGGTTTCCCTGTTTAACATGAACATTTATCAACACCAATAATGCGCCCACCCACTAGATTGAAGCATGAGGGAAGCCAAGACGAACATTACTTTTTAGGATCCTTTGTGAGGCCTCACCTTGTCTAAGTACGCGTTTGTTTTGTTATAGGAAGTCGGACTGGAGGACACAAGGGATGTTATGCGTTGAACAGCGGCCGGCATGCAGGTCGCTCATTCAGATCTTCGTGGCCTCAAAGATGCAGGCCTTATATATATATATATACTTGTTTCATTATGTTAGATCTCCGCTGATTGAAAGCTCCCGTCCAAAGGCATAGAACCTGTGCCAGACGCAACATGCACAACACACGCACACAAGACACGTGCACAAAGGCACAAACCAAAAGAGCACACACACACACACGCGCGCGCGCACCATGCTAAAGCACAATTGCAGAACGACACAGTGTTGCGAACAAGCCAGCACAGTATCACACACAAGTACTCGCACTCGACGCATCCACACAGACACACAAAGACATACAGAACACCCACACACCCGCACATATGATTCGCAAATCAAAAATGGCACACGCCGCCGGACATACGCACACACACACATAGCAAGGCCCACTTAACAAAAAGAACACGACAGACAGAGAGGTGAGCCTAAGGTCCACACCTCTCCGGGCGCCTTCTTCGTGTGGAGCTTCCGCGAAGACGACAGACATGAGCTTTCAGATTTGCACAACGTGGAGTGCCATGACTATCAGGTCGAGCAATAACCTGTCCTTCACACGCAGTTTGAGCCTTCTCCACAAGACCAGAGATGGACTCAAAATGTAGTGTCCCGTTGCTTGGCATCGTTAGTGGAGAGTTCGTGTGCCGTGTGAAGGATCGCTCTATATATTTCACAAATACATGACATGTTGTCATGCCGCACAGAGGCCATATTTCCGGTCAGCAGAGGGGGAGCCACGACCACCAAAACTTGAACCAACTAAGCATTCCAGTCTATTTTTCACAAAGAGAGTCCCTGTTCGACCACCATTGCTTTCGGATTCACGTGTTGTTAGTCCCATTTGTGCAGCCGTTATTTTGGCCAAACCTCTCCTCGAGCAACGCCTGGCTTCTGAGCTGCCTGGCATGCGGGGTTTGAATTTGGCTGACCAACTCGGCCTCCGCACATGGTTCGACCGCAAGTTCGTCCAACCACGCTGGGTGGACTCCTGCACCTGAGCAAGCCTTTGAGCATTCTGCGCCATGTTTTTGTTTGTTTTGCGCCTTCACCGTTCTGGCGCGTTTCAAGGGATATGCAGAACCAAGCCATGGATCGTTGGGGTGTGGGAGACGCGCGTTCGCCTGGGCAAGGGCCTCCAGAGGCCTTCGCCACCTAGCTGCACGTCCCGTGCGGGTCTGAAAATAGTTGCGCTTGAAATCCTGGATTGAGATCTGGTATCTCAATCAGAACCGTTCAGACAATACCAGGGGGAGTTGCTTTATGCTTCCTGTTTGCATTTCACTTGGTCAATCAACTTTATGACCAGAGGTTTCTTCGCGCTTTTCGAGCGATGATTCGGCTGTGTCGGAGCCAAACCGCAGGCCGTGCAGCTTCATGGCAGGCTCCACTTTGGGGTTCGTTCTGGGATTGGCGTGGGGTTTTGGCATCCCAAGCCAACAAAATGGCTGCATTCAGGTGTTGGATGTAAATGTGTTGTAGCAGCCTCAGGTGTTAGATGTGTTAGGGAGCATGATGTGACCTATGAAGGTGCAGCCCGGATAGCAAGTTGGTGAATGATCAAGTAATCAGAATGTTTGGCAGTAGCTCTCTGCGCGTAAACAGCGAAGGTGCACAGTCTATCCCAAGGAGACTCGGTGTATTGAGTAAGCATATATGACAATATTGGCAAGCCCTTATTCGCTTTGCAGTTTCATGGGTGTCGTTTTGTGGGTTCCTTCTGTCTCAGATAATCGGAAACAATGACAATACGAGTTTGACCTGGATGTCGTGGATTGGAAATCGTTCAAGGTGCTTGCTGCTGTGAATACTGTAGAGGTTTGGTTCAGTTGTCGGGGCGCCGTTTTGATAACTCCAACTTTGACGCTGCCGTGCTTCCGCATGTTCCAATGCTGCATTGCCGCATGCACCGGACGAATGGGGATGCCCCTGTGCTTAAAACCATCATGATGCTCGACTTCCATTACGCTATTGTTTTGTCGCCAGGATTGAGTCATGCTCGCCCTGGGGCGGGGCATAGACAAAAACTCTGCAGCTACAGATGCAACTGTCCATTGTAAGGTGTATTCAGGACTCAGACTCACTGGACTTGTCCAGCAGTATATGAGCCCAACTGAACTAGTCTAATCGATTGCCCGCGGCTGATATTCTTGCAAATCGAACCATGGTCAAGCTGCGACTGGGAGCTGTTCAGCTGAGGTGACCGACCACTTTGTCATAGTCTGACCTGTTCTGTTGTATTGGCATGAGATGGAGCTCAATCCACAGGGCAGTGATGGGCAGTGCGACGCATGGCTTTAGGGCAGGCAGAGGTCTTATCGGGGCCCAACCATCCCACACGGGTGCACAGCCAGGGCACAAATGCACCGCCAAAATTGGATGGTATCACCAACTTTAGGTGAAGATGGCGTTCGCAGCTCAGAAGCTGAGGCCCGGACACCTGCGAAACGCGAGTGCAACCGGCCGGAATCTCTGGAAATAATTACAGAAACGGGTTCTCTTCATTTTTTCGTGGGAATGTTTTCTTTATGCAGGTCCCGGGCCACTGACTGCATAGCACTTGTGGTAGGACCTGTTCACGCAGTGGGTATTGGACCCAAGTCAAAAAGCGGATTTTAAGCATCCACCCTGGGCAACTCTGCACTGGTTTAGGGGGTCTGCCTTGCCGCGAGCTCAATCTGTGATTTGTTGGCCTCCACCCTGGAAGCTATAGATCAGAAAGGACGCACTTCGATGTTCAGCCAACTGTTGAACAAGAACATTGTGCCCCAGTAAAGTAACTCGTGGATGATCTATTCCCGCTTGCCAACAGCCATGGTTGAATTGATTCAATCATTCCCAGTCGCAGTGCTGCGGCCTAAATTACGATATAAGGGTGCATCTTGGTTCGAATGGTCACAGAGAAGATCTCATGCTGTGTCTTCAGCCGGCAGGAACAGCCGGATACCCTGCTCTACGAAGATCTGACTCTGGAGCTGCCGCGAGAGGAGGTTCATCAGGAGGCGGCCGAGAAGGGTCACAGAGCATTGTCCAGGTATAGGCACTGTGTCGAATAGAATTGGACATCATATAGACGTTTGGAAGTAGCTCTTTTGCTGGATACATTGCAGCCGGGTTCTTTGTGGTAGCTGATTGGATTCATACCTGCGGTTGAACGTTGCCCAGTCTACATGTTGTTGTTTTTTTTTTTTAGCCCTGTCTAGCCTTCAAATCCCGCCCTTCGCTTGAGCCTTCTTGGCACCTGCTTATTTCTGCTGACAGCTGTGAATGTGGGCCTGGAAACGGTACCTTCAAACAGAAATGGATACCCAGGGGCTTGAAGGATGCAGCACTTGTGGGGTTCTCTCAAAGAGTGAACAAGAAGTAAATTGAGCAAAACAAAGATAGGTTCCAAAGTAAGATGAACATTGCACCTGCTTTCTGGAAGGGGTTCACTTGTCGCAAGCCAAGGAGCAGGGCAGGTGCCTTGACCTTGCGTGCCCTTCTGTTTTTGTCACCTTCGTTCCCTGAACATTTCCCGTATTGTGATGTTCCTGCAGGCTAGAAACTGGTTTCGCTGTAGTTCATTTGTTGCAGAAAGTCAAAGACCAATCGACCCAGGATTTGTGTTCTGGATCTGGGGTTTCCATAAGACACATCGAGGCAGAGGACGGTGATTGCCCAGCGACGCAGTTCTACGCGCCTGGGATGCAACATGCGACGGATGCAGGGTTGATCACGGCCCGAAAGCGCAAATACCAATGCAGTTCGAGCTGGCACTGTTTGCATTCGTTGAGTTTATTGATGGTTTTTGCCACTTCAATTGCAATACGAATGCTGCAGGTGATGTGCAGGTCCCAGATCCCCAGCATCAGCTGTTCGTGCCCTCCCGGACCCCCCACTCCCCTTGCCCGCTCCCCCTCCCTCCCAGAAACCCGTAGTTGTTGGCGCGCTTCTTGCATGCTTATCTATCTTTGCCTCCCTAAAACACTTTTTCTCCTGGAGCCCCTTTTGCATGCCCGCTGTGTTTAGGTGCCCCCTCCCTCCCTCCCTGCCTCCCTCCCTCCCCTCCCTCCCTCTCCCTCCCTCCCTCCCTCCCTCCCTCCCTCCCTCAGAGTTCCTCCCTCCCTCCCTCCCTCCGTCCCTCCCCAGAAAAACGGATTTGGGAGCCCTTCTTGCATGCCTGTATATTATCTTTCCCCCCCTGAAACGCAGTTTTTGGGAGCTCCCTCTTCAAAACGCGGATTTTTGGGACCCCTGTCCATATATCTCCCGCGGTTTTGGAAAACCCCTGCCTCCCTCTCCAAAACCGTGTTTGGGGCTCATGCCCTATATGCAAGCGTCCCATTTTTGCTTGACGACTTATGTGTGCATCCCGGAGCCACAGCGGGACACTGCTCTCACAGAGTTGTTGAAGCAGTTTCAACCGGGCTGTTTTGAATTGAAACTCCTGGGGTGAGAAGGATTGCACCGCCTCACAATCTTACCGGGTTGAAAAGGCTCACCCGTGATTGCAGATCGTTTCATGGGTCTTTTCACTTCAACCTGCTGGACTTCTTTGTTTTGCGATTTGGGCATGCTCTCAGGACGGGGACGCTGCTGCGGAGGATGCTTTGCCGCCTCTCTTTATGGCCGTTGGCTTAGATCCACTTTCATACGTCTACAAGATATGAGGGAATGCAGGCTTACAGATGGACTCCATGGGTGTGGTGTTGGAGGATTTTCGCTTTCAGACACTTCTTGGGCAAAATGCAAGATATGCAAGCTGAGGCTACCCAGGCCTACAGTGAGGACGTTGTGTTCGCGAATTCCGACAGCAAGGCCTGCTGTGCTTTGAGGATGTCCCACGCCGTTCAGACTTCAAATGCTTGGGCAGGTGGTGGATTGTCAAACAAGGTCTGAACTGTTCTATAACGGGCTTCTTCTCAGATGATGTCAAGTGCACAGAACAACAAACTGGTTTTATGCCAGCTGTCACCCGGAATAGGTGACCTCTGATGGAGCTGAGGATGACAATGGCGCCTTGTTTGCAATGGATCTCAAGATATTCTGAGAGTCGTTGGTCTGTGGCAGAATGGATTCTCTCAGATTCATTCAGATTGATTGCCGAAGTTGGTGTTCGGAGGCTGCTTTTCCGCTGCATTCTTGACGGAGGCTCGCTTTGCATGTCTGCACCTGGCTGGGCCATGGACTACTGTGTTTGGATCTTGACGGGATTTAGCCAATTTGTCCGGGTGCGTGGGCGCCAGACTTCAAGAAACAATGGTAGTGCTGGATGCTCCCGCGCAGTACAATACAGAGTAGTCGCATTTCAGACTTGACGAATTGACAGGAGGATGGGGAGCCTCACTCGGCCCCTGCGGAGGATGCTTTGCCGCCTCCCTTTATGGCCGTTGGCTTAGATCCACTTTCATACGTCTACAAGATATGAGGGAATGCAGGCTTACAGATGGACTCGATGGATGTGGTGTTGGAGGATTTTCAGCTTTCAGACACTTCTTGGGCAAAATGCAAGATATGCAAGCTGAGGCTACCCAGGCCTACAGTGAGGACGTTGTGTTCGCGAATTCCGACAGCAAGGCCTGCTGTGCTTTAAGGATGTCCCACGCCGTTCAGACTTTAAAATGCTTGGGCAGGTGGTGGATTGTCAAACAAGGTCTGAACTGTTCTATAACGGGCTTCTTCTCAGATGATGTCAAGTGCACAGAACAACAAACTGGTTTTATGCCAGCTGTCACCCGGAATAGGTGACCTCTGATGGAGCTGAGGATGACAATGGTGCCTTGTTTGCAATAGATCTCAAGATATTCTGCGAGTCGTTGGTCTGTGGCAGAATGGGATTCTCTCAGATTCATTCAGATTGATTGCCGAAGTTGGTGTTCTGAGGCTGCTTTTCCGCTGCGTTCTTGACGGAGGCTCGCTTTGCATGTCTGCACCTGGCTGGGCCATGGACTACTGTATTTGGATCTTGACGGGATTTAGCCAATTTGTCCGGGTGCGTGGGCGCCAAACCGTGCTGGATGCTCCCTGGCGCACTACAATACAGAGTAGTCGCAATTCAGACGTGACGAATTGACTGGAGGATGGGGAGCCTCACTCAACCCCTGCGGAGGATGCTTTGCCGCCTCCCTTTATGGCCGTTGGCTTAGATCCACTTTCATACGTCTACAAGATATGAGGGAATGCAGGCTTACAGATGGACTCGATGGGTGTGGTGTTGGAGGATTTTCGCTTTCAGTCACTTCTTGGGCAAAATGCAAGATATGCAAGCTGAGGCTACCCAGGCCTACAGTGAGGACGTTGTTTTCGCGAATTCCGACAGCAAGGCCTGCTGTGCTTTGAGGATGTTCCACGCCGTTCAGACTTCAAATGCTTGGGCAGGTGGTGGATTGTCAAACAAGGTCTGAACTGTTCTATAACGGGCTTCTTCTCAGATGATGTCAAGTGCACAGAACAACAAACTGGTTTTTATGCCAGCTGTCACCCGGAATAGGTGACCTCTGATGGAGCTGAGGATGACAATGGTGCCTTGTTTGCAATGGATCTCAAGATATTATGAGAGTCGTTGGTCTGTGGCAGAATGGATTCTCTCAGATTCATTCAGATTGATTGCCGAAGTTGGTGTTCGGAGGCTGCTTTTCCGCTGCATTCTTGACGGAGGCTCGCTTTGCATGTCTGCACCTGGCTGGGCCATGGACTACTGTATTTGGATCTTGACGGGATTTAGCCAATTTGTCCGGGTGCGTGGGCGCCAGACTTCAAGAAACAATGGTAGTGCTGGATGCTCCCGCGCAGTACAATACAGAGTAGTCGCATTTCAGACTTGACGAATTGACAGGAGGATGGGGAGCCTCACTCGGCCCCTGCGGAGGATGCTTTGCCGCCTCCCTTTATGGCCGTTGGCTTAGATCCACTTTCATACGTCTACAAGATATGAGGGAATGCAGGCTTACAGATGGACTCGATGGGTGTGGTGTTGGAGGATTTTCAGCTTTCAGACACTTCTTGGGCAAAATGCAAGATATGCAAGCTGAGGCTACCCAGGCCTACAGTGAGGACGTTGTGTTCGCGAATTCCGACAGCAAGGCCTGCTGTGCTTTGAGGATGTTCCACGCCGTTCAGACTTTGGTGGTGAAGTGGCAAACAAGGTCTGAACTGTTCTATAACGGGCTTCTTCTCAGATGATGTCAAGTGCACAGAATAACAAGCTGGTTTTTATGCCAGCTGTCACCCGGAATAGGTGACCTCCGATGGAGCTGAGGATGACAATGGTGCCTTGTTTGCAACGGATCTCGAGATATTCTGAGAGTCGTTGGTCCGTGGCAGAATGGATTCTCTCAGATTCATTCAGATTGATTGCCGAAGTTGGTGTTCGGAGGCTGCTTTTCCGCTGCATTCTTGACGGAGGCTCGCTTTGCATGTCTGCACCTGGCTGGGCCATGGACTGCTGTATTTGGATCTTGACGGGATTTAGCCAATTTGTCCGGGTGCGTGGGCGCCAGACTTCAAGAAACAATGGTAGTGCTGGATGCTCCCGCGCAGTACAATACAGAGTAGTCGCATTTCAGACTTGACGAATTGACAGGAGGATGGGGAGCCTTTGCCGCCTCCCTTTATGGCCGTTGGCTTAGATCCACTTTCATACGTCTACAAGATATGAGGGAATGCAGGTTTAGAGATGGACTCCATGGGTGTGGTGTTGGAGGATTTTCGCTTTCAGACACTTCTTGGGCAAAATGCAAGATATGCAAGCTGAGGCTACCCAGGCCTACAGTGAGGACGTTGTGTTCGCGAATTCCGACAGCAAGGCCAGCCGTGCTTTGGGGGATCTTCCATGCCAAGCGACACTCCGGGGCAGGTGAATTCTTTTCAAGTGAAACTAAATCTGACTGCATGCCAAATCCTTTGGGGTGCATAGAGCGGCAAGCTGGCTTTTTGTGCGAGCTACCGCTTATTATTGATTTTTAATTGGGTAGCCTTTGAACGTTGACCGCACGTGGTTACTCTGGTTGTAGGGTTCTTTGGAACTGGACTGAAACCGATGCTTCTTTCTTCTGGGTTCCCTTGGTGAACATGTTAAGATATTCTAAAAGGTTCTGAACTTTGGGTTTGGTTGCCACTTCAATGAATCCAGTATATTGATTCCGCAACTTGCCTGGAGGACGAGGAGCTACATTTCGCTCCGGCGCCTCCGTCAATCATGGCCCTTGGCTTAAAGTGGGGCTTCGTGAACATGTACGGGGTGTTTCCAAAAATGGACGGGCACCCCCCCCCCCCATTTTTGTGGTAAACTCTAGTGGTGGAATTCCCCGTGCAGAAGTGTATCAAAGTAATGTATGGACCCCATGTGATCCCTTTGCGGTAGATGAGGCAGGTAGACTAGTAGGAGGCCAATCAGTTTAAAGCATCGATGTGAAGCGAACGGAGTGCAGGTGTGCCTAGATGTCGGGATCGGCATTTCGGGCAAGGCGCTGTGAGCTTGCAAAGCCTGAGGCTTCCCAGGCGTACGACGTGTTTGCGAATTCTGCTCCATGGCGGAGGGTACCGATTTCACCTTGGTCGAAAGGAAGCCCGATGGAAGACACTTTTGTTGACACATACCCAATGTGTTGGGTAAGGGTAGTCATTTTGATTTGTTTGTGTCGAAATCTTGTGGCAATCACAAAACAGACATGGCAACTGTCCTAGTACCGTCACACCGGTGTGACGAGAATAATAAGCGGCCAACAATCTGGAAGGGCTTCACTTTACTGTTGACAGATTTCCACTGAGAGGATTACGCAAGACATTTCCACTCCTCCTCGTGTTTGGGGACGTTGTCGTGTGCCATTTTGCTTTTCCCTTCTTGTTGCATTCCGGGCAGTGGGGATGCTCGACTCAAGGATTCACCCTGAACGGAATACTGAAAGAGGTGCGAAACAGTCTAGCATCAGCACTTGGAGCATCGATGCTGGATGTTGCTGGTTTTTTGGACTTGCTTCAGCCCGCACCGCGGTGAAACTTCCTTCTCAGGGCTCAATCATGAAAGCGGACATTGGCCTGTCCCGTTCCTAACAACTTTGCTGCTTGGACTGGCGTGTTTAGAAGTGCCAAGGTTCAGGATGGTCAGCCATTCAAGGAGGATACTTTTGTGCTGCATGGCTTGCTGGGGGAGATCCCTCGGCTTGGTTTTTTTCCCGGGCTGCCAAAGCGGCCAAACGATGTCCGATGCTTCGGGCTTCCTTGCACTCCCGGCAACCCCCGCTCTCTCTGCGCGCTTCGGATATTCCTATCTGAAGAACCCCATGACATTCAATGTGGAGACAAAGATAAGAACCTGGAGAACTTGAGGAAAGACTATCCCCAGCCCCAGTTTCGGCATTTGTTTGACGCAACACGTCTCGCCACCGGCGCATTCTGAGCATGGCTGGCGTTCTCTTTGGAACGCCAGGCTGGCGACATGGAGGACACCCTCCTGTATGAGGATGGAGCTGCTGAGGCGTGATCTTTGGGATGAAAGTCGCAGGTTCCTTGAAAGAAATGTCAGATTGGAGTCCTTGCATTGATTGGACACCTGGTACTTGTGTCATACGTTTACATACTGAACCATGCCAGATACGCCCTGGGGCCCACTCAGACCTTTACACGTTCTAAAGGGATTAATTCAATCACACGGCACCTGAAAGCATGCCGAAAGACGAACTCGCCCCTGCGTCTCATCCAGAAGGCTTTCGTTTGACCATGGCACAATCTCAGTTGCCTCGCCTTCAGCCGCAAGTGAGGCTATCCAGAAGCGGTTGGTTGAAGTTGAATTCTAGCATAACGCGACCGCTACAAACGTAGCTCGGGCAACCGTTGGGTCCGACGCTTGTGTCCCTGAAGCAGGTACTTTGTCTTAAGTTCCTGGCATTTGCACCTAGATGAGAAATCTCGTGGTCATTCACTTTTATTCCATAATTTCCAAACCCCTATTCTTGGACACCCCTTCGACGCATCTTCAATGTGAATTGGTGTATGTCCCAGGCAGATTCAATGGAGTCAGAGCGGTTTGCCCGCCGCATGCTGACCATCTCAGATGAGCGCTTCGCTTCACCCCGGAGCCGAGCCTTGTGAAGCGGACCTTGGCGCGACGCAGGCGCGGCGTTGCGACCTTCAGAGGGACCACCCGATAGAAGTTCTCATTCTCTGAGTTCTTGGACTCGATAATTGCTGGGACCATGTTAGTGGCAAACGAGTTACCACACAACTGTTTTTGACATGACACCCATCAGAAGTCCTGGTTGAGAGGACAATAGTCCAAGCCAGGGACTTGTCGGGTTCCATGTCATCGGGTGGGAGATGTTCGAAGTGGTTCATTCTGAGTCACTGTCCGAAGTGGTTTGCCTGATATTTCCAGATGTGCTCGACAGGGGAGAATCAGGGAAGCACACCCATTTATGTTGATTGCCCACCCTCGAGCCTGACTCCACTTCCAAATAGATGGCCCAAATGTAACCTCGAGCCAGCGAGGCATACCTGGGCGAGATTCCTTCTGCGCCTCAAGCATTGCCGGGCGCTTGGGTCTAAAGCATCCCCGAAAAGCGAAGAAACCTGAAGGCTCAGGTTCTCACCGTGCAAAACAGAGCTGGTGATGTCCGGTCCCAGAAACTGACTTTGCCGAACATTAATATGCCCTTAATATTACATGGAGGCCACTCCTTTTGCGCAGCCTTTTCTGGAGTGGTTCTTCCCTGTTGATGCTCGGGGCAGTATCCTTGAACGTGCTAGTGTCGTGGTGTGTGTGTGTGTGCTGTCCACATCCAAGCCACTTTCTAGCACCTCTTCGCGAGAGGCAACCTGGGGGGAATTGTCTTTCGAGCACAATGGTCAGGTGGTGCACTCTTGATTGAACTTATTGTGTTCACAACAGTTTGACAGTTTGTGTATTGTATTGGACATATGTTGTACTGATCACACTTTGTTTCAGTGGGCGCACAATTGTACTTAGTTGTTCAGAGGTTTAGCCGTAAAATAACGGTGCAAGGTAAATGTGTGCTTCATTGGTTCAGCCTTTTGACCCCTTATGATCAAGTTATCCCTTTGCGAAGTTGTTCTGGCAAGCCCTTCCGCAAGGAACACAGGGGCAGGGTTCCTCATCGATTTTTCAGCCAATATCAGGGTTGGTTCCGTGCCAAGCTGAATGTCACCCGAACTTAGCATGCCTCCAAGAGGGTGCGACAAGTATGCGCACTCCTCTAGGATCCTAGCCGGGAAACCGTGGGGCGCACACCTCACCAAAAGTACGGCACTTCAAATACTCATTTGGATAAAAAGGTCTGTGTTAAGATAGGGAACCGTCAAGCAATGGCCGTGTCGCTTTTGTTTCCCCTTTAACCCAAAGTGAACGGGCACTCTCCAAAAGCCCAAACATCCTTAAGAAGTTTGTTTCAGTGTTTAGCACCGCCTTTGAGCCGCTCGCTGGCAGGGCTCCGACGCTTTGAAGGTGTTGACGCTTCCGATGAACTGGGTGCTAAACTCATGATTTTTGAGGTGGTCCTTTGACTGGTGAAATCCTTTTGATTTATCCCTTTGAGCGCCTAACAAGAACTAGACTGTTTAATTTGCCCAGAAGGAAACCGAAAGGGGATCTTCTGGGTGGGATTGTTGTAAGGGGCAGATTTGGGGAAGCCTGAAAGACTCCAGTCTTCGCTCTCCTGGGGATTCCAGCAATGCCCAGCAAGCGTATGAGCATGCATATCAGGTTGCCAATTTCAGGTGTTCCAAGGCATATTGTCTCCACTGTTATACTGTTATGGTCGCATCATTTGTTGTACTGCTCCTGTCCAGAGCAGCCAGCCGAAAGACTCCTCACGACTCAGGACAGAAATTCTGGGACCCACGAGATCCAGACTTCTAGAAAACGATTTGGAAGCGCCTGTTTGGAGGCCACCTCCTGGTCTTTCTGTGCTCTTTGAACATCCGGACAGATTCGCCGCGTCATATCCCAACCATTCGCAACACTGCAGGGAGAAGAGCCCGGGCCTTGCTCTTTGGATCCACGGATGGACGGGGATGGGGTGAACGTGCCGGATGTTGGCTGCAAGACATATTCAGGAAGCCCACTTTCAACACAAGGTGCACAAGAGGGGTGATTGAACGCGTGATCATTTTTGACCCTCGACATTCAGAGAGCTTTCAGGAACGGCTACTGCACATGCCCATCCAGAGCCGCACTGGTTGCGTCTTGCACGCGACCCACTTGAAGCCATTCAGTTCCTCCCCTGTAGGCTGACATGGAACCCACAAACTGAACCCACAAACTGACATGGAACCCACATGGAACTCATTCTGGGGGCCTCCTTTACTTTGGGTTCCGTGTGAGTTTGCAGGGCAGGCCCTGCGCCGCACCCCAGTCAACACTCCAGTTGGAGCAACTAGCAAATCACTCAAGCTTTCAACCTTCCAGCTCGAAGATGAGATGGACATCGACGCTTTATAGATGTTGAATAGCCATCGAAAGGCTGGACACCAGCTGGCTCACTGCTTGCTACGTGTTGCTTTTAACTCAGACAAGACACAGCTTGAAACCTCACACAAGACATGTGTCAAAACCAAGACTGCCCCGAATAAATGCTGTTCTAAGAAGCCAATGGGAAGTTGCTGCCATGCGTGTTAACTTTAATTTAGCAGGCTGACGCCTGATGCCGCCGACCCCCGTAACAGCATCACACACGTTGGAGAAACTCTGGCCCTTCTCCGTCTCTCAGCAGGATTGGCGCCAAGGTCTCGCATGCTGGGGATGCGGGGGCTGCCTTTTTGGTCTTCCATGGTTGTAGAAAAAGGCAGCTTTTGCATCCCCAGCTTCACCAGCATCATCCTGCAGGTGCCCAGGGTGATGCTTTGCATGCTGGGGATGCAGGAGCTGCCTTTTTGGTCTTCGAATGTTGGGAAAAAAGGCAGCTTTTGCATCCCCCGCTTCACCAGCATCATCCTGCAGGTGCCCGGGGTGATGCTTTGCTTGCTGGGGATGCAGGAACTGCCTTTTTGGTCTTCGAATGTCGGGAAAAAAGGCAGCTTTTGCATCCCCCGCTTCACCGGATCATCCTGCAGGTGTCTGGGGTGATGCCTGGCATGTTGGGGATGCGGAAGCTGCTTTTTGGTCTGGGACGGAGAAGAGTTTCTCTCAGCGATATCTCCAACGTCTGGCTTCGTGCGGGGATGATGAGGCTGATGATGATGCTGGATGACGAGGCCGATGATGGCGCCGCTGATGATAATGATGATGAGGAGGATGACAATGATGCTGCTCAACCTGATGAATGAGGACGATGCATCATCATCATCGTCATCATCCACCATGTCGTCATCATCATCCATCATCATGCCTCAGTAGCATCATCATCCTCAGCCTCATCATCCAGCATCAGCACCATCGTCAGATCATCATCCTCATCATTTTCCTGATCATCATCATCATCCTCGTCACCATCATCATCATCATCATCATCGTCATCATCATCAGCGGCGTCATCATCATCATCATCATCATCATCGGCATCACCATCATCATCATCATCATCATCAGCATCATCATCAAATCATCATCATCATCATCTTCATCATCCTCAGCAGCATCATCAGCATCATCATCATCATCATCATCATCATCATCATCTTCCCGTAGTCTTCCGTCATCTTCGTGTATTCTTCCGTGATCTCCTTCCGTCATCTTCCCACCAGCTTCCCGTAATCTTCCGTCCTCTTCCCGTAGTCTTCCCGCAGTCTTCCGTCATCTTCCCGTAGTCTTCCGTCATCTTCCCATCATCTCCCGTAGTCTTTCCGTCATTTTCCCGTAGTCTTCTGTCATCTTCCCGTAGTCTTCCGTCATCTTCCCGTAGTCTTCCGTCATCTTCCCGCAGTCCCGTAGTCTTCCGTTCTCTTCCCGTAGTCTTCCGTCATCTTCCCGTCAGCTGTCATCTTCCCGTAGTCTTCCGTCATCTTCCTGTCTTCCGTTGTCTTCCCGTAGTCTTCGATCATATTTCCGTCAATTCCCGTAGTGTTCCGTCATCTTCCCGTAGTCTTCCGGCATCTTCCCGCAGTCTTCCGTCATCTTCCCGTCAGTCATCTTCCCGTAGTCTTCTGTCAGCTTCCCGTCATCTTCCCGTAGTCTTCCGTCATCTTCCTAGTCTTTCATCATCATCATCCATCCTCACGGTTAGAGGTTAAAGTTAGAGGTTAGAGGTTAGGGTTAGAGGTTAGGGTTAGAGGTTAGGGTTAGAGGTTAAGGTTAGAGGTTAGGGTTAGAGGTTAGGGTTAAAGGTTAGGGTAGAGGTTAGGGTTAGAGGTTAGGGTTAGAGGCTAGGGTTAGAGGTTAGGGTTAGAGGTTAGGGTTAGAGGTTAGGGTTAGAGGCTAAAGTTAGAGGTTAGGGTTAGAGGTTAGGGTTAGAGGTTAGGGTTAGAGTAGGGTCATCTTCCGGTAGTCTTCCGTCATCTTCCCGTCATCTTCCCGTAGTCTTCCGTCATCTTCCCGTAGTCTTCCGTCATCTTCCCGCAGTCTTCTGCCGTAGTCTTCCGTCATCTTCCCGCAGTCTTCCGTTCTCTTCCCATAGTCTTCCGTCATCTTCCCGTCAGCTTCCCGTAGTCTTCCGTCATCTTCCCGTAGTCTTCCGTCATCTTCCTGCAGTCTTCCGTTGTCTTCCCGTAGTCTTCCATCATCTTTCCGTCAATTCCCGTAGTGTTCCGTCATCTTCCCGTAGTCTTCCGGCATCTTCCCGCTGTCTTCCGTCATCTTCCCGTCAGCTTCCCGTAGTCTTCCGTCATCTTCCCGTAGTCTTCCGTCGTCTCCCGCAGTCTTCCGTCATCTTCCCGTAGTCTTCTGTCAGCTTCCCGTCATCTTCCCGTAGTCTTCCGTCATCTTCCTAGTCTTTCATCATCATCATCCATCCTCACGGTTAGAGGTTAAAGTTAGAGGTTAGGGTTAGAGGTTAGGGTTAGAGGTTAGGGTTAGAGGTTAGGGTTAGAGGTTAAGGTTAGAGGTTAGGGTTAGAGGTTAGGGTTAGAGGTTAGAGTTAGAGGTCAGGGGGTTAGAGGTTAGGGAGGTTAGGGTTAGAGGTTAGGCGTGTCAAAAATCCGCTGCGGGACCCCCCCTCCCCCCCTCAGACTCCCCCTAACCACCACTTAGAACACGCCTCGCCCCTTTGCAGAGACTAACTTTGCTTTTGCAAAGGGGTCGGCGGATTCGGCAACTTGGTGGACAATACCTACATGATCTTTGTGACAACCATGTGGCGGGGACCCTTGTTTGACCGAAGGCTGCTTTCAAGCGAGGCGATGATATGCCTCCGCCACCAGTGCCAAGCCACCGGAAGGCCCGGACGAGCACGCCATGTTTTTGGGCCTACGCCCCAGCCAGCATCTTGAACTGGGGTGCCCAAACTCAATGTTCAATGTTCAAGAGGCCTATGAAAGGTCGAGGTTTCTCTTGTGGTGTCCCACTTTGGATCAAACAAGCACGGACTAGGAAATTCGGGATCCCCCTTTCCGAACAACCCAGAACAAATCATTGGGATGTCTTCCATGAACCCGTTGGGAGGAATTGGCAGTTCCCCACATTCTTGCGTGCGATTAGTACTTTAATCTCGTCGTCCGCGCTGCTCTCTCCTCCTCCTCCTCCTCCTCCTCCTCCTCCTCCTCCTCCTCCTCCTCCAACTCCTCCTCCTCCTCCTCCTCCTCCTCCTCTTTCTCCGCGCCTCCTCTCCATCTCCTCTTCACTTTCGCTTAACTCACACATATCTACTCTTACTCATTGAACTTACGCTCACTGACTTACATTCTCGCTCACTCCACATACACGTACTTACTCCTACTCATATTGAACTTACGCTCGCTGACCTACAATCGCTCTCACTATCGCTCACTCCACATACACCCACTCTCACAACTTGCCCAGACTTGCTCTCACACACTCCACTTACCCGTACTGACTTTCAACCACTCTCACTCGCTGCATTGACGCATACTTGAGAACTTACACTCACAGACGTGCAGATAATTACTCTCACTCACTCCACTTGCACTCACTGACTCTCAACCACGCTCACTCTCACTTACCCACTCAACTTCAACTCAACTTACACTCAACTTACACTCAACTTACACTCAACTTACAAAAAAGCTGCAACTTTGTGAGGTCGCCCGGAAACGAGGCGACCCCAGAGTGACGCAAACACAGCTGCCGAGGCCTTGGGCTGGAATCCCGCCAAAAAGACACTTGGAACCTCTGGCCAACACCTTCCCGGAAGCCCAAATAAAGGGAATTGTGCCATCTACTTACCTGGGGTAACCGCAACACGGAGCCCGGCAGCGTTTGTGGGCTTTGCTTGGTACGTAGCCAGTTTGAGGTTGCGTTGCTACGTTAACGGAATCAAGTTGGTGTGACTTTGCGGATCAAAATGATGCCACTTTAATTTTCGGAACACATTTGGTGTCTTTTCAAGCGTTGAAATAACTTTGATATCAATCAAACATTCAAGTTGTTTGGTGTCACTTTAAATGCCAGGATAGGATTGAGTGATTACGCACATGTTGTGTGAACGGCGCCATTGATTCCACGGGTACCTCGCTGTTGGCTTGCGGCAAGCAACGCATGGCTCTGCCAGGCTCAAAGCCCGGCCGGAGTTGACGAGGCCTCGCCTGCCCTGGCACAGTGGTCCCTAAATGGGAGTGCTTCAAAATATATAGAGGTACCCCAAATATGGTGTTGTTGCGTTTGGTTCCGCTTCAAACCAACGAGAGAAGTGTAGCCCCGAAACACACACACCCGCACTTATTTCCCAATCCAGCGGTTTGAGCATGCTGGGTCACTTTCAGATGAGTTTCCTCTTGGCGAGGGGATGTTCAATTGGATAGACAAGGAGCCCTGTAGTTGGCTTGACAAGACCAGGTCGGCATTCTAAAAGTTCTAAATGCCCTGGTTCCGAAATGCATGGAAGATCATGGAAGTGGACCAACGCGTCAGAAGACTACTATCCTGTGGAAAAGGTCACCTTATCCGCTTCTACGCTTAGAAAAAGAGTATATAAGTTTAAAGTTTGCTGAGACCGTTGACCATGGCCCACCCAACCAGTTTTGACTATGGCGCCTTTCTCTTTCAAAAAGCACTGGAGTGGATGCCTGGAAAGCAGCTCGTGAATCGCCAGGCCCGGGCAATCGCCACTCCTGCACCGCTGGCGACATTCGAGAGGGGAGCCAAGGGACAGGGCGTGGGACAGGGCATGGGTTCACTTGTCGGCTCCTGACATTGATTCCGCCTAGAGACTGCTATCCATCAACATGTTTCCGTTGAAATCCAATGATTCTAAACCTCTACAATATGAGCAGCGTGCGACGGCCACCTTTTTTGGCCCTGGTGTGGCGAGGGAATGGTATGAGGTTTCGAGTTGTGATGTGAAGGTGTGTCCTAGATTTGCGAGTTGGGGGCAACCATTGCACTACACGTGTAGATACTCACCCACCCACCCCATGATCTACATTTGCATGCGCACGGGTCCTTGTCATACACATTCTGCACGCGGCCGGATGGAGAAACAGATAGATGGATAGATAGGTAGGTAGATAGATAGATAGACACAGACAGATAGACAGATAGATAGATAAAGAGATAGATGAGCAGATACTCAGACAGACAGAAAGATAGACAGACAAATGAAAGCAAATTACATAAGTAAATTAATAAACAAATAAGTAAATAGATAAACAAGTAGAGAGAAGAACAAACAGCTAGGTGGACAGATAAATAAAAAAACAGACCGATAGATAGATAGATGACGATATTTATTTGATAGAATACATTTCATTCATAGAGCGATAAATGAATTGATGAATAGAACGACAGATAGATAGATAGCTAGACATGCATACATAGATACATAGATAGATACATGGATAGGTTGAAAGAAAGACTATGATATATTAAATAAAATATTCACACTGCTGCCTTGCCGGTTCAGGCTGCGGATGTGGAGCGCTGCGCAGTGCAAAAAAGAGTGGGCGATGAGGAAATGGGCTGAACATAGTAGTTGACGACGGTGAGAACAACAACGAAGACGTGAAACAAAGAAAGAAAGAAGGAAGAAAGAAAGAAAGAGGAAAGAAAGAAGCAAAGAAAGAAAGAAAGAAACAAGGAAGGAATGAAAGAAAGAAAGCATGAAGGAAAGAAAGACGGAGAGAAAATAAACTGTGAGAAGAAAACAAGGCAGAAAGAAGAAAAGGACAGACCTTACAGAAACGCGACAAAAAGGGCTATAGCGCTTATATGTTCGATACTTCCGCCCGCCGGCTTCGCCGGCTCTACTAGTATACATGACAATCGGAAAGGACATCGCCCTAAAAATATCCAATCTGGAATTAGGATTTAATTGGAAACCTAGTTGAAATCCGTTTAAACAAGGAAATCCCAATTAAATTGCAAAAAATGCCCCTGAAGCTAGCACTGCAATCACTCTACTACCCAAGGAGGAGGAGGAGTGACATCAACTCTCCCTTCACCCTTTTCCTGACGTAATAATTCTCGGAGATAATGATGGTTGGGGACATGTGCACAGTCAACTGTCTATTTCTAATTGAGACCGTGCGTATTTCCCCATCCATCGTTCTCTTCCCTTCTTGCAATTACTAAGATAATGGAGCATTTTGAGCTAGGAAAGTAGAAACAAGTAATAAACGATAAAAAACAAAGGATCAGATGCCATTCAACGAAAGATTTGTAAGCATATGATTGCATCTTACCTCTTCAATATGTTCCTATTCATTAAACCTCGTGAACTCCAAATGAAGAGGTGGAACTGCTAGACATAGAAGGATATATAAAAACTGACTAGTAGGTCATGATAATGATGGATGTCAATGCATTTTGTCGCTTGGCAGATGTGAGGGCACGCATGAAAGCAGGAAAGCGAACCAAAAAGGTAGATCACGGGGGGGGGGGGGTCTGAGCATGTAGCACATAATATGTATATATATTTACATTTATTTATTTATCTACTTATTCTACTATATATATATATATGTATGTGTATGCTTATGTGCTTGAATGTATCTGGTTCAACCGTGCATACCTCCAATCGTGGATGTTCAATGTTCAACCCTGAGCAACACAACACCAAAATGGCAGCAGGCGGTCCGTCCTCTTGATCTGCTAGCGGCGCTTGCAGCCATAAGTTAGACAGCCCAATTGGGTTCTTCTTGGGGGGAGAGAGTACACCAACAAAAAACTCAGGGGGATGTATATATGAAGGGTCCCCAATCATGAGGGATATTCAACGCGTGAAGAGGTGACTTGTCAACTATTTGCTTGGTTGGGCCCTTCTTCGCAACAACTATCCCCGCCTGGGAACACATTTGTTTGCGGAAGGCGATCGCCTGAGGGGAGACGCGCCATTGCGGCTTACCATGTTGTTTCCTCAAACTCAGCTGGCCTGTCACCCCTGCCAGGCGAGAAGTCCCATCGCGAAGCGATCTGTCCTGGAGGTCTTGGATGAGGCTTGGAACTGTTCGCACTTTTAGTTTCACTCATATTCAATCAAAAGCTCAGATTAATCCTACTATACTGATGGTTGGGTTAGGGGGCAAAGGCTTTTGGTTGTGACCCGGAGCGGTACAGCTCGCATCGTTGTTTTGAAGATGCTTCGCCCTTCGACCACCTTTGGATTGGTTGGAGTTGTGTCAGCTTCCAAAGAAATGCATGCATTTTGTGTAGAGGGTCTAGATCTGGGCCGTGCTGTACATTGGCTGTTTGTGCGCATAGTTACCCTCTCCATGGCGATTAAAAGGGGAACCACCCCCCAACAAAATGTTCACTTCGTGGTCGGTAGAACTCTGCGCAGCAGCTGCACCTGATTTCGTTCTGCTTTCCCATGAGATATATTCCGCTTGATCTCTTGAGAGTGTTCATCTCTGATTTCGGCGGAATCTCCGCACGTCCGTCAAGCCACTTATGTCAGCTCCACAGCTTGCGTGCTTCGCACAGCCCAGAGTCAGTCCACAAATTGATCAAGGACCCTGTTGACATGTAGACACCAAGCAGATGCATTCATATATGGGCAATTTGTTTGCGCCCACCTGGGCCGGGGTAAAACGAGCTCACCCATGATGAAGGCCCTTACTAGAGTGCTCCGATTTCTAGTATTTGCCCAGATTCATGCTTGCTCTTTCAGCAAAGCAGGAATGCAGCGCACTATGCTCAAAGCCAGGATCTGCCTCCGAAAAGACGTCGTTTGCACGGTAAGCAGCCGCCGCCGACGCCCAATCCGCTCGGCCTCCTGTGCTCGTGTGTGGAAGGAGCCAAGGGCAGAGATCCAGTGGTCCAAGTGTTTGCGAAGTTTAATGCGGAATCCCCGTCCAAATGATTCGTGGACGTAAGTCCCAACATCAACTGACGTCTAACGGGTCAGTCCTTGTTTGAGAAGTCTTTGGACCCGACTCTCGAAGCCACCTGCTTTCGTTGAGCCGGACCAGTCGGCTCCTTTGTGCAAGGGGGGTTAGCCATTTGTGGATGAAGCAAATTCAAGAAGGCGGCCCTGAGAGGTGACCAGCGCATGCCGCCAGGGTTGGAAGGACAAAGCCTTCTGTGAAGCAACTCCTTCAAATCGCCCCCTGTGAGCAGAATAGACCAGGTTGGCACGCGCAGCTACAAATATGGTTTGGCCGGAAATACAATTTAGTAGTTTCAAAGAAGCAGAAAGGAGCCCGGATGCATATGGGGCGCATGTATATCTAGAGCCTACTCGAGACTGGTTACTTGGTATGCCAAGTCATAGGGTTGCAACTCGTTTTGGGATGCGAAAGATGCGAAAGCCGAGCATGATTTGGTTTGGCGGAGGTCTGTGAACTGAGTTGTGCTCCTTCCTTGTTGAACGCAACGGGTGCACGTGTGCCCGCGCTCAGGTTTCATGTTCCTTTGCCTGCAGGCCGACTGATTGTTGACGTCGCATTCGACGTTTGCCGCATGCTGTTGAACACGTCATACATTCACCGCACTTTGACAAAACCCACCCAACTGCTGATACGCCTGAAATTTTGTGTTGCCACCTGACTGGAAACTGTATGTGATGTTTGCAGTTTTTTGACAGCACACCCGGCAAAACACCCCCGCAACAGGCGAACCTTTGAAGCACACCTGCTACCGGCGTACCTCGCCACAGCACCCGCCCCAAGCCACGCCTGCCAAATGATAAGCGCACCTGCGCAAGGGCACCCGCTAAGCTCTGTATCCACGCCTGCCAAATGAGAAGGACATTCTCTCAAGGACTCCCGCTCAACACTGCATCAGCCAATTGCTGTTGACCGGGTGATCTTCGTATGTGTGTGAGTGCGCGTGTGTGTTTCAGTGGTTTGGTGCAGAAAACTGCTTTTCATGCCAAGCCCAGCGCATTTACATGCATGAAGCACACTGGATAAATCTGTTGTTGCTGTCAAGGCAGTTGCCATGAGCCTGATGCGTTGAATAAGGTTGCTTTTGCTGCTTATTCGCCTTTCCTGCTTGGGCTGCTGCAAAAGCCCGCCTTTGCTCCCATCCTCTTGTTGGAGGCTCTCAACTCCTTTGTAACTGTACAGAACCGGCCCGGTATGTTTTTTGTTTTGTGTGTGTGTGTTTTTGTGTGTCGGTGGGATCTTTCAAACCACCTTTGTGTTCAGCCGCCGGCACCAGGGGCAGACTCCAAGGGTAAGGCAGGGGCGGTTCTTGCAACAGTCGCGCGACGCCTAAGCCGAAAGATCATGAGTTGCCTTGCCCACCACCTATATTAGCAGCAGGAATTTTGCATGGGTGTCGGTTTGGGTGGGCCCCTTTCGATTTGCTGCACTGGTATGTTTTATATATGGATCTTTCTTGCTTACAGCTGGTCACAACCATGCCACAGGCTGCATGGGGTGAACAACAGCACTGGCAGGCATTCCTCGAAGGAATTAAGACAGTTCTCGATTGTAAGATATTGTAAGTATGCTTATGGCACCCCGCACACCAAGCTTCCCAGAGATGCCATTGACGTTGTGGTGTCCGTCAATCTCTATCTGATAATCTCAAGCGATATGTGTCTGGACAGAATGCTTGTATCGACCTCGTCAAATACTTACCTGAGTGCCCATGTCATTACACGCTTGGTTCAGGCCGCTCCAGGTCACTGCTAAATTTTAAGTTCATGTTGTTGCCGAGCAGCCGCAATACATTCTGCCACTTATTAACCCGCGAGGGTATCCGACTGCCGAAGAGGGGGATACGATGCGACCCTTGTATTCGAACTTGTATTGTGTTGATCAGACATGGCACGCATATCAATTGCTCGTTGGATCAAACAATCCCTGAGCGCCATCTCTTTTGCATCGCTTCTCTTTGTCCGCAATGTTGGTACGCGTGGGGATGTTCCAAAGAGAGCCTACAGCGGATGAGCGAAATTGGTTGCCACTCCAGCACTTGATAGTCACTCTTCCTTCATGGAGGGACACCCCACATTTTGTTTGGGAAGGTGACAAAGCTCGGCCCGCGCCTGACATGTAGATTTAGCTAAGGGGAACTAAGGGGTAGCAGTCTTGGATATTTGGAGAGAGGGGAAAGCATCACGTTAATACATTGCGGCCACCAGCAGCCCTCTTTTGCACCCTGAGTCCAGTACACCGACAGGGGAAGAAGCGGAGGAAGTGTAGGCCGGCTGGGTGAAGGAGCCATTTCTTTGTCCTCGTGTTGGACTCCTGGACTTGTCGTAAGGTAGTTTCAAGGGAGCATTGAAAGGGAGATGCATCAAAGCTCTAGTTGCAAGTGCGAGCAGTCACGGGGTCGCAACGTTGGTGTCGTTTTGAATTACCAACAAGCTGTACCCTCCAGGACCCCATGGCAACGTGGAAGGGAGGATATCAAATCTAGAAACGTGCTATATGTTGGCCTTGGGTGAGTAGCATGAGATGGCCCACTTCCCTCCCCCATACTGTATCCCCTGGCCAAGGGTTGCTCCGTATTACTTTTCAGTTCACATTGCAACCGTGAGATGTGCGGTCATACCGATTAGTAAAGCTTTACGCGTGCTTGGACTCAGATGTTTTGCATATTGACCCCTCCTCACGAAAACTTGTGCCATCCACCACACGCGATTTCGATTGGTTGCAGGAGCAAAAGTAGCTGCGGTTTGGACTGCCATCCCATCTACCTTGTCAGTCATCCTGGCAACTCGCATCCCATCATCCATTGTGGAGTGGGGGAGGGGATAGCACGTGACAACTTTGTTTTTATTAGCGTTCTGCTGTCCTTGTGGTGTTTTGCGGCTGATCGCACACGACGCGTAGGAAAAGTCCGGAAACGTTGTGCAGTGGCACGTCTGTTTCGTTTCGCTTTGGTATGTTGCTTGCCATGAATGGTCTAACCCCCAAATGGGCTCCTTTTTGGCAGGGTTATTGGGCAGCTGGGTACTTGCAACCACCGTTCCTCGCATTGCGAGTTAAGTTCACACAGAGCCGCCCTGCCCAATCTAAGAGGCCAACTTGCTGGACAGCTACCGGCTTCGCTGGCACCTCAGCATTCTGAGCTTCCGCAGCAACGCACTTAGTGTTTGGGGGTTGGCTGGTGGGTTGGTTGGTTGGCTGGATGGCTGGTTGCCTGGTTGCTTGGTTGCCTGGTTGCCTGATTGCCTGGTTACCTGATTCCATCTTTGCCTGTTTGCCGGCTTGCCTCAACTCCCGCGCACCGTGTCGAGCTGCAAGGTATTGGACCCTGCGCGCCGGAAGCAGATGAAGGCCTTCGGAGCCCGAGCCGCTCTCCCCAGATGCAGCAGAGGGTCTACTTTTAAGGCCGAAATCATTGGAAGGGGGTTGCGGGGTACAGTTGAACAAAGAAAACAAGTCCCAATTGACTATGCACCGCTATTACACCAAAGTACCTGATGATTGGACCCTCATGCGTGATTGTTTAACCGCTTGTAATATGCACAGAGAAAGACTGGGTGCTGTTCGAGGGCTTGATCCAGGCCTCTGACACAAGCGTAGACCTCACTCCCGCTAACTTTGTGTGGGCAACGGCCAGCTCTTTGGAGGGTCCCACTGCCTTATATCACACCGTTTCTTTAATATCACGACCCGTTTTACTCGGATTGAGCGCCCTTTGCAGCAATTGAATCAACACTCATCAGCCGCATTATCGCCTTTTGAAACACAAGTCTCCTGGAAGTTGGCAAGACTAGATACAAAGACATTGGACACTTACAAACACATGCATGCAATCAGAGCCGCAAAGGGCCGTATAGGCACAAGGGTCATTGTGTTTGTGGACGTTGCCAGGCACACAAATGCCAAGTAGGTTGTTGAACATCAATCCGCAATCCTTATGCCAGCTGGTCGTGCCTTCCTTTTTTGCTTTTGTACTGCGGATTAGGAAAATCCCGGGTTTCCCATTTTGAAAAGCGAAATTGGGAAAGCATTCTGGAAAGCTCAGGTGGTTGATGAGTGGTCGTCCAAAGTGACCCACGTGGTAGCGAGGAGCTTCCGCAGGCGCAGATGGACAGTCGGGTGCTCTGAGCCCTTCCAAAACGATGAGTTGCTAGAAAGTCGAAACTGTGAATTGACAAAATCCGCGCCAGGCGCCAGTATGATTTTTTTGCGCTCCTTTGGCTAATTCTACACTTGCGATCATCGGGGCTTTTGCTTTAGACCAACCCACCAGCGGGACGATGGTAGGTTGGGGGTTTTCAATGGAAGTTTCTCTTTAGTCAGGTCGCCGCATAGTATAATCCAGCTCGTGATGACAGTTGAGCATCATTCGACTTGCGAAAGTCCCGGATATTGTTGTTTTCTGTATAGAACTGCTGTCCAAGTTGCTCCATGTCGCGTTCATGCTCAGGTTTTCTTGTGTTCGTCAGCGCATTTGCCAGGACCACCAAGCTGATGTGCGCCGTGTGCGCGGGCATCCGTGTTGTGTTGCCTTCCTACATCGATGCGCCAGGGTCTCGGAATGTTTTCAGGGCACTTGCAAATTCTGGAATACTCGGAACGGGGGAATTGATGAAACCCCTGATAGACTAGCTAATAGTGGGATGTGCATTTGAAGAGGGATTGCTTGACTGTTTGGGGGAGCGCCACCCATTTTATTGCATCAGGTTTTTGCAGCTACGGCTGAGGTTGCGGTGGACTGTTTTTTGACGGCTCCCCACCGCCATGGTTGCCTTGTTTGTTTTTGCAGGATCTTGCAAAGTTTATTATGGCCTCCATGTGAATGGGTTTGCGGGTTGAGCAGTGGATGATATTCAGTAGCTGACTGGCTAACTGTATGTTTGACCAACACATACGAATCCTCCAATTCACGCGGTTTCTCAATCCTTTGAAGGGCCCAATGCCAGCATGTGTTAAGCACCCGCAGGCTGTGGCTACGAGCAAACCACCAGAGTTCAACAATGACTCCCACTCGTGACCAAGCTTATCCTTTTTGTTACAATCGTGGAAGTGGACTAGGGACCTTTTTGAGAGGCTCGTCTTCCAAACTCCTCCTGTCCTCCTCCATGACTGTTGGACCGGGGGTTGCGGTACAAAGTCAATCCTTACTCCTTATTGTGCATCCTTATGCCAGATATGTTTCATGGCTTCTTTTGTTGCAACTGAGTCCCACTACGAATAAGCATCGTCCGGGGCCCCATTTTGAGCAACCTAGACAGACTTGCAGCCTTTGGCGCGCCACTGAGTCAGGTGCTTGGCAGCACGTGATCTGGTGGATGATTCGCCGTTCCTGCTGAAGGACACGGAGAACGAGGCCGTTGCCGGGGGGGGGACATGAGGCCATGAGGAGGTGGGATCCGAGAAACGAGGCCTCCAGTGCCCTACTAGGCGCTTGTGTTAAGTCATCCTTGTGGAGGTGTCCTGATGGGCAGCTTTAGTACAAGACACATGTTAAAGCGCGCGTGGGTGGAGACCTTTTGATTGGCGGCCCCTGTGTTGTGCCCTGCAAATGCTGAATTCTGGTTGGGGACAGCTAGGTTTAGTTGGTGAAGTGCTTGCAGAGAGAGTCGCACGTGTGGGCTTCGCCGCCCCATGCGGCGGGGTTACCATTACGCAAACGCGGGTGACTTCCCACGAGTTTCAAGTATGGTGCCCTTTGTCTTTTTATGGAGGGGGTTCCTCATGGAATTCAAGTAACCAAAAAATGACCATGTTGTTGGGGCTGTCAACGTACAGCACCCGGAGTTATGTTGTTAGGCAATCAGGCAAACAAAAAGGAACCCTAACAAGGGGGTCCCGAAAAAGGAGATTGCTCCAAGAATGATGGTTTATTGTGCAGGAGTGTATGTCCTGTGGCAGTAGGTACTTGGTCGCAGGCATGTACTGATTCGCCATGCAGCTCAACTTACAAGCCCTGTTTCAATACTATTAGCATCCAGTTTGCTCAGGAGTATGTCCTCCAACCACCTTCAGAAGATTAATGTTTGTACTTTTGATGGTGAGGGTCCTGCAGACCTCGTTGCTGTGTCATTAGTACCTTATCTCATGTTTGTTTGCAGGGTTGCAGGGTTGTTGCTGGGTGGAGGCAGGCAGAAGTGCTTGGTGACGGGCGCGGGCGCAGATTGGCAGTCGAGTCAAAATAGGGGGACGTCCAAGATGGTGGTTTTGCTTGTGGCTTCCCTTTCAACTAATCTCAAACAGATATCTTGAAAAGGATCACACACACACACGCACAGGGCCCATTTGGGGTGGGCAATGGTCACAAATTATTGCTGCAGACGGTTATCTGTAAATTTATTGTCTTTGTTTGTTTTGTGCAGTGTCTCCGGGAAATTGGTTGTATACAAAAGAAAGGAGTTATAATTGTAAACGCTTCGCGTTGCCCGCCTCGGCCCAGCCTAGTTTGAGGGAAGGGTCAGGAACACCCAAATCCAGTGTTGGGAAGGTCCGAATCCTACTGAAAGCTTGTGACCGCACCAGTTCGCCCGTGCTAGTTCGATGTTCGGAAGCCGTCCTGCTCGGAAGGTTTGAAATCCAAAACCAAGACTATCTCAGCTGCTCAGTGCCCTTGGAAAAAAAAGGACCTCTTTCTGGGGATGAGCATTTTTAGTGGGGCTTGGCCTCCATAAAAAGGGGAACAAGAATTGGTGTCACTGAACAACCAAGACCAACTTTGGGTGTTTGGGCACCTCCATTTCACGTGGCTGGCGGCTTGCCATGACATACATTTCTTGCTCGGTTGCAGCCGGACTACGCTGTTGGTTGCGCCTGGAACTTCGGCTGGGCGGGCTGGGCTGAGCTGTGCTTGGGCGGGTCGCTGGATGGGCAAGGCCTGTCTCATACACACTTGGGCCTGAGGCTGGGTAGCGAGTTGCTGGGCTGGGCCTGAGGCCTGAGGCTAGTCTCAGGCTGGCATACCTTGAGACCAGTCTCAGACTGCGCCAAAGGGGCTGGCCTAGTGGCTGGCGTGCCCTGAGATGCGCCGGGGCCTGGGCTGGGCAGGCTGCTGCATGACTGCTTGGGCGGGTTGCTGGTTGGGCTAGGCCTGTGCTTGGGCGGGTTGCTGGTTGGGCTTGGGCTAGGCCTGTTTCAGACAAGCTTGGGCCTGAGGCTGGGTGGGCTGGGCTGACAGGCCTGGCCAGCAGGCGGGTTGCTGGTTGGGCTGGGCCTGAGCCTAGTCTCAGACATGTCAGACAGGCCTGGCCAGGAGGAGGTCATGCTTTTCAGGACAAAAAAGCATTTTTCTCATTTTCGCAATTTTCAGCACATTTTCGACAAAACTGGACCCATGGAGCTGGACGCCGACGAACCCCGAAAATTTCAAGGCCCGCCGGACAGGATTTTGGGCCAGCCGACATGGGTGGGGGGGGTGGGGGGGCCGGCAAAATTTTGGTAGGGGAAAAGCGAAGATTCTTTTTGGAGAAGAGATCTGAGCGCCCTTGGCCCCTTTGGGGCCGAGGCGAATATGTATCATCAATTATTTATTTTACGTTTTATACCACCTGTCAGCTCTTGGAATCGCATGCCAGGTAAACGAACGGAGAGAGTGGTTGGAAGGAGATGGAGAGAGGGTGGAGAGAAGAAATAGACCACCTTTTCCTTTCTCATCCCTTCGCTGCCCTAGGTGGCTAGTGTCCCAATATTTTTTCTCCTTCTCATCGTGTGCCTCTCCACCTTTACGCCTGGCACTTTTCACTGGCGGTAGCACCCAAGCATTTGCTATTGTGGAAATAATGAGATGGCTCACGGCTCGCGGGTCACCCCTTGATCAACATGACTTCTGCAGCGTCACCGTGGAAATTGCTTTGACTGGCAGGCGAGCTTTGCGCAGAAGCATGGCCTGCCACCGTTTTCGCTGCAGGCTGGCAGGTCCGTTGGGTAGAGCGCCCCTCCTTCCTGGCTCCCTTTCGAAATTGTGTTGCATTCTGGGCCACCAAAAATGGCCAGAATCCAAAATACCTTCTTTGTCAGGGGCAGGTGGCTGTTAATTTCATTTCTGGTACAGGTGGTAGCACCACTTCTTATATGGTGCTTTGGGAGCAAGCTTCGGCCTGTGTTCGGGTGAAACTGTTGATTGAGAAGCCGTTCGAACCTCGGTGACCACTCTCCCAAAAAACACCTGGACATGCCGCGTTTGCCTCACGAAAGGCCCCTTGTCCAAGAGTTTGATATTTCTCTACGCTGACATGATTGGAGCACCACTCATGGTGGCCAAATTGACGTGTTCGACCATCTTTCTTTCCCAACCAATCCTATCCAACCCCCTTGGAGATGTCCGACGGAAACCGAACGCGAGACAGCCATCAATCACGCGTTAGGCGGCTTAGGAGACCCGCCTTCATGGTACGGAGAAATGGGAACTCAATTTGCGAAATTTGGACCCTAGCTGGGGCTCAAACCAACCCAGAACCATGAGGATCTGCTTTGTGTTTGTTTGGCAAAGATGGAATGCCATTTCTGCAGAACCAAGGCAGGAGGTCTGTGAGGAAGGCCATTTATGATTGCTTGACTTGGAATGGCCGGGGAAACAAGAAGAGGCCCTGAGCCTGACAAGACAATTAGTTGGAGCAAGCTGCACTGAGCCAAGCCATAGCAGCAAATAGGCCTAGTTTTCCTGTGGCGAGCCTACCATATTTAGAGCCTGAGAGTTTGGAGAATTCTTGTGCAGGAGGATTCTGGAGATGATCCTTTGACTCATTGACCCAACCAACTGTAGTTCATTGATTCCCTCGCCCTTCAAGCAGTCACGGAACATGGGCAACCCTTGTTTGGCTCCCGCTCAATATTTACGCTTCTGTACTGAGCGATGTTTCCATTTCGACGCACTGCCGCAGGCATCCATCGGTGCTGCTAGCTCCAAGAAGCTGCTCTCGGGCAGGCGGACCGGGGATTGGTGCTTGGGTGAGAGTGTGTGTGTAAAAGCAATCTGATTTAATAATTTAATGGGAACCCAGGATGAGTAAGCCCATGGAAGATGGATGGGGGAGTCCTCCCAATGATAAGGAGGTTGAATTTTGGGTCGCCATGAGGGTTGAGCAGGAAACCAATAGGGGACTGAATTTCCTGTGCGCTTGTCTGACTTGATGTGGCTGTGTGGAAGGTGGTGGCGATTTCTAACTTTACTTTTCAGGCGCCCGCATAGGAAAGATCACACAGCTGTTTTGATGAAATGTGACATGTTTGCGACATTACCGAGGACATCCGGGGGCTGAAACGATGTCCCCTATCAGTACGGATTTATCTATCGAATCATTTGAGGCAGTTGATATTATTTAATGTAAGTTAACTACCAGATATGGTTTGGAATTGGATTATTTGTGCACAATGATACGTACCTGAAACGACGGGCGGCATGTTGCGCTGTACAGTACAATTTCCCAAGTATAAATGGGTTGTAGTTGTATCCATGCCGAACATTGGTTATCGGCCACCCTGATAGACAGCAGCCTTGTAAAGAGGATCCACAGAGGGGAGTCAACATATCAGAGGCCATGCCTTGTCTGCAGGGTAACTTGGCTCTGGTTCGCTGAGGTAGCTTGACCTCCCAGATTGAGGCGTTCTTGTAAGTTTGGATCTGCTCGGTGGATGTTGACCCGCCCCAGATTCTGTTGAGGCTCCCGAAAATGAACCCGAGCCCACAGACCTAGGTTGCATGCTTGGGGCCCCAACGAAGGGCAGAGGTGTTTTCAGAGAGGCGCACCACCCTCTTTGGGCCTCAGAACGGCATGGGAACCCGAAAGACTCAATCGAACAAGCACAGCCATTGCTCGGAGAGCAGTGACTGCCTGCTGTGCCCCACCAGAGATTGCATGTATTCCGCGGACCCTTGTGTTCAAAATGGCACCGATTCCTCACAACAGACACTGATTGAAACGAACCGACAGCGACCACAGGAATCAGCCTTGGTCAGGTCCTGAACTTTGTTGAGTGGTTTTTTTTCCACGTGTTTTTTTTTGCCAGCAGACACCGCCATTGTATGTTGACCCTGTCAGTGAACATGATGTGTGTTTGGCCGGGTCAGACACCTCAGTGGCACATAGCGTGTTTTTTCTTACCAGGTGATGTCCGATTTGTGGCAGGCATTTTGACGAGTTTGCAAGCTAGCAGTAGATCACAATTCATGTTCGTGCTCCTAACATACTATTGACCATGGCCAAGTCATCTTTGCAAAAGCAACCCTCACTCAGGTCGGTGTATTGCTTCGGCAACCCTGCAGAGAGGCGTGCATCCCGATGTGTCGCTGCGGGCTAGCACCCATGGTGCGGCTTGTGAGCAGATAGCAATCAGTACTAGGCAGAATAAGCAATCATCTGCTTTACACTTGCAGCACACCATGATGCACCCAGAGAAACAGACATACAGACAGTGTACACACATGCACACATACCCACATAGCGACATATATACCCACACCCATACACACATTGCTCACATGACACACATGCACAAGCACACGCACACAATTCACACATACGCACTTTTAGACATACATACATCACTGACAAACCCACGCACACATACGCACATGAACCATGACAGACATACACACATACACACGTGCACACGTGCACACGTGCACATATACAAAACAGGCACACATATAGGCATACACACGCATACACACCTAGTTCTTCTAAGACGCTGGTAGACTATCTTCATAGCAAAATGAAGTTTAACCCAAGTGTCGGTGTTTACCCGTGAGTGATGCATTTGTGAGTTGGATCCGGCTCCGGATGGTAGATTTTGTCAGTTGGGCTCAAAGTTGAATGCAACATCAGCGGCCTGGTGATGCAAGTTGCATGCACAGCCGCGTGTTTCACATGTTTGTGACAAGACAACCTCCAGCTCTGTTACGCTATATGCAAGGACATGCATGGATATGGACCCCACGGTGGTTACCTAGGACATGCATTGAAATGCGCGATTTGTGCGACGGCATGCTGCATGTGTGATCAGCATGCAAGAAGTACATACAGACATGCATGCACAAGTACAATCATACATACATACATACATACATACATACATACATACATACATACATACATACATACATACATACATACATACATACATACATACACACACATACATACATACATACATACATACATACATACATACATACATACATACATACATACATACATACATACCTACATACCTACATACCATACATACATACATACATACATACATACATACATACATACATACATACATACATACATACATACACACACATACATACATACATACATACATACGTACATACATACATACATACATACATACATACATACATACACACATACACATGCACATACACATACACACACATACACACACATACACACATACACACATACACACATACACACATACACACATACACACATACACACATACACACACAAATACACATACACACATACACACATACACACACATACATACATACATACATACATACATACACACATACACACATACACACACATACATACATACATACATACACACATACACACATACACACATACACACATACACACATACACACATACACACATACACACATACACACATACACACACATACATGCATACACACACATACACACATACACACATACACACATACGCACATACACACATACACACATACACACATACACACATATACGCATACACACATATACGCATATATATATATATACACACCCATACACACATGCACACATACCATCATACACAAATACATACATACACACATACACACATACACACATAAACACACAAACACGTAAATACATACATACATACATACATACACACACATACATACATACATACATACATACATACATACATACATACATACATAGATACATACACACATACATACATACACACACACACACATACATACACATACATAGACACACACGTACACACATACACACATACACACATACACACATACACACATACCCACATACACACGTACACACGCATACATACGTACATACCTACCTACCTACATACATACATACATACATATATAAATACATGCACAGAGGCATGATGAGGCATGCATTCATTGACATAGCTCTACAGACATGCACATATATACATCAACACTAGTAGACATGTTGCACACACAATGTACACACGCACACACAACTATGTATATACACAGAATTATTTATGGAGATGCGCATATGTATACACATATGCCAGTATGTCTAATTTCTCAGTCATGAACTGCTTGTTATTACGTTCAACCTTGTTTGTCCGTGTTTGCTGGGCATCTCCTTGCGCGCGCAATGAAGGGATTGTTCTTGTTTTTCTCATATTGAGATGAGCCGAAGGTCGAGCATCAGTCTCAGGAAACCATATGATTTTCCGACTTCTATTGATCATGGCGATCCTTAAGAAAATTGGAGCCGCGGCTAGCATGAAAGAGGGCAGCTGGTCGTGTGCTCTCCCGCCCTGTAGCTTTGGTGGCCTCCTATACATTTGGCCTTACTTTACAGCTGACAGCTTCTGATTTGGCTGCGAGTTTGATCACCCGTGCCCTCACCAAAAGCATCACCGGTAACGACCAAAGAGTTAAGGAATGTGTTGCAGATAAAGGAGGGGGTCCTTAAGGAGGAACTCGAGCCAAAGAAAGCCAAAAAGGGCATCCAATGAAGACCAGCTCCCGTGGGCGTCCTTGATCTGCATTGCCAGAACTCGGGCTTCCATTGCAAGGTTGCAAGGTTGCAAGGGAGAGCACCCTTGCGAGACTGCCATGCTGACTGCCTTGGTTCGGGATAGCGACGGTTGTGACAGGCTTCGTCCACTTCTCTGTTTTGAACTATTTTGGGTCAGAGCAAACGGGAGACCCGGTTTTGAAAGGCAAAAACCGGTCCCACACACAGGGCCAACGTATGGATGTTTTGGTCAAGGAGAACCCGCCCGCAGGCAGGAACTTCAGGCGGGGAGGTGAATCGCTGAGTTGAGTTGAGGGTGGGCGTGGGCCGAGGGCCGTGGGGGGTTCAAAGGCACAGAGGAAGTTGAGGGCCTCACACGATGTCGTGGATCTGGCGACCCTCCTCCCGGCGAGTTTGGAAGGAAGCCCAAAGGAGACCAACCCCTTTGACTGGGGTCATTCTGGGAAACGCACACCCAAACGCGGCGTAGTTGTTCAAAATCCTAGACCTGTTCGGGACCCCTTGGTTTTGTAGAGCGCCGCTTTTAAAAGCTGATTCTGTCAAACCCCGGAGACAGTCCAAGCAGTCAAAGGGGTCAAGCAGCAGTAATCCATGCCCCCTAAGCACAACTACTCCGTATGCTGAAAGGCTGAAACAACATGATTTCAGGAGGAAACATTGTTTCATATCCAGGCTGCTTGAGATATCCGGTTGGATCCTCGCCAGGCACAGCTGTCAAGAATGGGAAAGCAATGAATTCTCAATCGACGGCAGTTTTGATCTGACGATCCAATGAAGCTTGGAATCTGATTCGGAGAGGCCCCCAAGTTTGGGTCCGGCGCTGGACGAGGGTCCGGGGCTGGACAGCGGTTTGGCTCAGATAGGGTGCATTTGTTGGGGCATAGGAGTACTTTGGATCCACTTGGATCCTTGTGTGTCGGAAGGAGGCACGCTTTCAAGTATGTGTGTGGCGAGTGCTTTTGCTGCTGAGATTCATCTATTGGGCCCTGATTAAGTATCATCAGCTCACCTTGCTCTTAGTTGATTGTTTGGATTGGTGGTTTGGGATTTGAACCCCTGGTTCTTGCAGTGGGCAAACGGAAAACCACCCCCTGCCACCAATCCAAACCGCCGCTGAATTGCTTAGCCCTCCCTCCCGGACTCGGAGCACGCCTTTTCCGCGCGAGGCGTTGGTGGAGGCGGCTGGCGGGCGCTGGCTCAAGCGGAAGCCCCGTAAGGCCAGCAAGGGACGCGTCGCAAGGCCCTCGGCCCAGAGCATCGTCGCAACCGGGGTCTCCTCCAAGACGATGTCTATGGGTCATATGCCGCATTTGCAGCAGCATCTGAAAATATGTTTTTCAGTGTACCCTAGATGCGGGCCGCAAGGCAGGGGGATCGACCATGTTCAGAGGGGAACCCACCAAGTCAAAAGGGAAACAGGGTACTAGGGCCGTTCAATGGTTAGAATGGGGGTGGCACCGTTAAAACTTAAAAACCAAATTGACCAATTTGAGTCATCATAAGAGCAGAATCATGTATGGAATTATTCAGCCTCTTGTATTACAACTTCTATCTTTCAGTATTGCTCTGAGCCGCAAAACAATGACTGGGCCAGAAGGGTGGCCATTGGGACCAATGTACTACCCTTGTGAAACGGTCTTGAGAGCAACCCTGTTCTTTGTCAGCTATCAGGATTGTGGTTTGCCTTGGGCCTTGTGTTGAGGGCATAGTCAGTTTTTGAACTAAAATATGTGTGTGAGATTTGAGCCTCCTGCGAAGGGTGCTTCCTGCCGCTTTGAATCCATATTTTTCCTTGCGTCGCTTTAGTAGGGGTTTGTGGCTGGCATGTGGCTTCGTATATGCCAACAGTGTTTGCATGTGTTTGCTAATTCGGAATGCCTTGCCCAACAAATGTGCAAACATAGAACATTGCACAAGTTGAAGCCACCTCATAGACACCCAGAACTATTGCAGCCATGGCCAGTGGCAGAGTTCCGTTGACAGTTTGAACTCAGCTTCCCAGGTTGTATCATATTGCGAATTGGCCAAGTAGGGCATGGCAACAGCAGGATCATGCAGGATCAGTTGGAATGTAATGTTATTTTATTGGTCGTGATACGAATCGAGTGCAGTACGCGTTAGCTGTAAGGTTACCAACGCTGAAGAGCGAAAAGGGCATGTCAATGTGAAGACTTTGTCTGGCTGACCTATCAGCATTTTCTTGCCTTTGCCCAGTGCGTTGCTGCGTTGTTTCCGCTATGGCCTTTCAAGGTTTGCTTCCTGCGCGGAGACGTACCGTAAAGAAATCGTCCGCCAAAATTATTTGGGTTTGAGTCTAAAACTTGAAGACAGTCAACGTCTATAATATTGGCTGCACTCTGCATTCTCTTTGAGAGCCCAATTACCCAAAATTGTCAGAGTCTCTCTAGCTCCTCTCGCCTGCTTGCTCTTCAGAAAAGCAAAATGGACGCCAACGCAGGATCAGTCAATAGGAGCTGCCTTCGAGAATTATTTTGTAAGGTTGCATGTCTGCGCTGCCATTTGCAGCGAAGAGTAGATCCACTTCCGAACATTGGAATTGGGCCACGGCTGCGCTTAGTCTCCGTTTTGCCCGGCCATCGTGTGCCAGGATGGCGCTTTGCTTCTGGGCAAGGCATGTCTAGCTGCGTTGGGCAAGTTGGTCGGTCCGTCGGCGTGTGCATACTATGCCCAGATTTGTGGCCTTCACAAGGGAGCTTAAGAGGAGGCGTTCGATGAGAAACTAACAAGCAGCTTTCATCATAAGTCTGGACAGGCGGATCTATTCTGGACAATCAGGGTCATTTGCAGGTGGAAATGTGTCATCGCTGTAAATTTGAGAGATTAGTAAAGATTCAGGAGCTAGCTACTGCAAAGTAAGCCAACCACTCGGAGGAGTCTCAAAGCTTATGCAATGTAATTTCGTTTCAAGTTGATATTTGCGAACGGACGTTTTCGGGTGGCGATCCTAGGTGAGCCACAAGCAAAACTCGGGTAAATGATGGTTAGCAAGGGGCAGTTCCAACCATACGTAGTTGCTCTCCGCCCTCTCAGCTTGTGATGCTGACATATGCTGACTCTATTCCCAAATCGGACTGGTTGTCTTAAAGGGAGCCAAACAGAAGCCGCCCGAAAGAGAGGACCTGGGGATTGGACTGCCAGGACTACGCCCTGGAGCTTCTGCGAGAAGCCGCGTGTACGCAGGCAAGGGGAGCATGACATCCGAGTGACACCCAAGTGACTCTGTTGATTCTTTTGCAAGCCGGGGCTCCCTTAATCAGGCAGTCAGGCGAAGCTGAAGCTCTCTCACTCTCCTCCTTCAGCTTATATAACCACAATTATTAAATAAATATATATATATACACACGTAAGTATACATATTGTCCTTTAGAACCAGCCGGCAGAAGCCAACTTTAACAGGTTGGTGCTCTGCGGATCATGGCCACTCAAGGAGGATGCGCAAAGACGGCTCCTGCTGTCTTTGGAAAGGGTCCGTTTCCTGTTGACAGCAAGCTTCTATCAGCGGTGCCCGACCCAATAGCCACGAGATTATATATATATATACATATGTATGATTCAACGCTATCTGCAGTGCTGGTTGCAAAAGCCAGATATTTGCAATTGAAGGCAGGCACGCCAGCTGCACAAGACCTCCAGATCTGACAAAGCACCCAAGAGTTGCCCCTTTCAACCACTTTGGCGGCTTTCCTTTACACTCTAGACTTATATTTGGATTGCCCCCGTTCCTTTTGTGATTCGCTTAAAGGCCGGGTCAATGTTTGGTTGCATCTTACATCGTTCCCCTCAGCCGACACTAACTAAACTCATGCATGAACAAATAACAAGCTGTTTGGGTTTAGAGTTGACTGTTGATTAAGTGAAGCCCGCAACAAATCTGAGAACCCCTCATGTTCACTCGGCAAGGTTCTCCGCCTCGACGCGCACAAGCTGTGAGCAGATCCCGGTCGAATTCGCGAGGCGAGGGACCAATATTGGTCAGGGAGCAATGTTTGGCATACGCAAAAAAAGAGGCCATGTACTCACCTGATAGCATAAGGGCCTCAGGATGGGGGGGGCTTGAAAACCAAGTTTAGTCATTGCCGGAGCAAGGGTCTATTAGCCCCTGGGCAGGCTTCGTTGAGACACAACTTTATATCATATTATATCCCTTGAAGGATGACCCATTCTCAGTGATGCTTTTGCTTGAGCTCGGACGCATTCGACATTGAGGTGGACATGGCGCTCGCGGACCTTTGCAACGGGGATGGGGACAGCCATGCAGGCGACGCATGCGACAGCAAAAGCGCGGCATTGAGAAGCAATACGAAGCAATCTTCAGTCACAGACGATCCAGTTCAGCAGTACCCCCTTTTCCCCGTTTATTTGGTGGGTTCCAAAGACAGTCAGCGTCCAAAAGGTCTTCTTTTGTCACTGGACAACTGAACAAAGGTGAAGACGCTTGCAGCTCCTTCCGCCTGACATGTGTTCTGTCCGGAATCAATCAGACTGCACGGTGCTTTGACAGCCATTGGCTCATAGAAATACTCCTTTCATGTCGATTCGATCAGAGGACTCTTCAGTACAAAGCGTGCTGCTTGAGAAGCTAGACCTGGAGACCACTAGAAAACACACATAGTTGTGGTTGCTTGTACAGCTGAGAAACTGGCAGGATTTGTGGTTTGCTTGCCTCTGAAACAACCAACAAAGATGACAAGTCAAACAAATACACAGCAAGACTCTTGGCCGACTTCGGGGGCGGTGCGCCTGGCTGAAAGAGGACGGGTTTGACAGGGCAGGTTTGGGAGAGTTTGCACTACCCCCACACCACAACCCCCGATGAAGCTGTAACAAAACACATGAGCAGCGCTCAAAACCCCCACGATGATTTTCATCTAAATGGTTTCCTATATATATTTTGCAGAAGGAGAACCCTGAATCGCGAAAGCTTGCGAAAGTCCGCAAAGACTCCGTTGATGGAGAATAAGCCGCCGCGAAGGGATAACACGCGCGAAAGCATCGCGAACGCTCCACGAACGCTCCACGAACGAGCACTATGAGGGTAAGAAAATCTCGACCAGTTGTGAGCACTTCTCTGATGAAGTGATCATCAACCGACGTTTTATTTTCATCATGAGGTTAGGATCGCAGCAATATTCCATGTGATAATATGTTTTTCATTGCCCGGAGTATGCAGGAGATGCCTTCCTATTCGATACATGCACTTTTCTAACAAGTTGGCTTGTTGTCTCCTTCATTCACAAACAACTCACCATAGATTACGTAAGCACGAGCGGAACTTTCTGGGACGATGTTACGGTGATGTTTTTCCAGCCACAATCCTTGGCCGTGGGGGGGTGCTTTTTTTGAAGCAATATCTAATTCAAGGGAGGGCTGCTTTCGCCGATGTGGCCGTGTCTCGCGATGAGCCATTCATTTATGCGGATGTGACAGAACTACGCGAATGCAACCAACTGCCTGTTTGAGGCCGGCTTGTGATTCGCCCAAGGTCAGACGGTGTCAGAAGCATCCAACTTTGCAAGTGCTCAGGTCGAACCCAGAAATGTGGCTTGTCTCAGAATCCACCCTCCAAACTGTGCTCCAAACGGTTGGTTTTCGTTGTGGTGCCTCTTGAAGATCATCCCCAAACGGGTGTTGGACATACCCAAGTCCCAGAACCAACCTGCTTGTCCGGCAGGACATGCGCCCGGCCTCTGAAGCTCAGGCTCGAATGCTCAGAGGAGTTTGGTGAAATGCAGGATACCTGGGTGCTGAGTAGCCGGTTGTTTTAATCCCCTCTTCCTAGGAAGAATTAGGTCCCCCTAATAATATGTTTCCCCCAAAACTCAGAAATGCCCAGGTCCGGGAATACCAGATGTAGAGCAGCCAATTTGAAACCAATGCTAAAACAGAATCACTTTTTAACAGTGATTTCCCCTTTCAGAACCAACACAACACCATCACTACACCAATACACAAATCCAAAACCATTTTACTGTTTTCTGCAGTTTAAATGCCTTAGTCGGAAATTGCCGGTTTGAACGATTCTGGGGCCCGGAAAGGGGGAAGACGTTATTTGGACGAGCGCCGAAGAGGACTGAAGAAGACACTTCGGAACTCGCCCCCCCATAGTTACATAATTATGTGTGTGTGTGGCTTGTTTGTTTGTTTTTCTGGGAGAACATGTTTGGTTTCTTTTTGTTTGTTTTTTGAGGGGGACATTGTTATGAGGGGGAAGGGATAAAGGGGATGGGTACACATTTACACAAATCAATGTATTAAATGTATACTAATATTTTTCAATTGTATACTGTTAAAAACCAGATGCTTGACAAAGTCCGCGCCGAGAACCAGTTGGGCGCCTACCAAGTGGGTGTGGATTCTGTTCAAAGGGTCCTAGTGTTGGGCCTCCCTCTTACCAGGGCTGGGTTGTGACAAATCTGGCCGACCATAGTCCTTGTTTCAGCAAAATTTGGACAGCTGACCTGATGCAGTTTGAGATGGGTTTGCATCGCACAGATGCATGGAGCAGCATGAAGTGCTGCTGCTAAACTAGGCAACTCGAAGCACCCAACCTTACATGTCAAGCAAGAGTTGTGTCATGGGAAGACCCCGCGTAAGCAAAAGCTTGCGCGCCGCAAGCGGACGTGAGCTTGTTTATCGCAGAATGCCAGGTCCTTAGCCCCCCCCTTGATTCTGCTTGCCGAGAGCTGTGACCTGAGACTGACAGGGAAGGCGCGGCAGGTGCGGAAGGGGTCCAGGCGCGGAAGGTGTAAGTTGCCGCAAAAGGTTTGCTCGCCTCGCGCAGCTGTACGCTCGCACACGCAATGATGACGGCTGATCTGTGGAACTCCAGAAAGGAAAGCTGGCGGCTAAATCCAAGGCACTGAGCAAGCATGCTACCAAGCGAAGATGCGGAAAGGAACAACGCTAAGTTGACTCGCTCAAGCGCAATTCTGCGACGCTCCTCAGAGTCATACGTATTCATATGTATAAGTATATGACATGAATATATGCGCCTATGTTGGCGGTTGCTCTTGTTTTGCTCCCGGTTTCTCCGTCGGGAGGCCCCCGAGATGGCCACAGCGGTGGCCCAGGTCCCGAGAGAGAGAAAGTGAGTCAAACTGTGTAACCATGCCAAATTTCTCGGGTTGGAAGGCAACTTTCCTTCAAAAGTGCGAAACTGTGCACCAACTCCTGTTTGTTGGTGGGGGGAAGCGCATGGATGAGGGACAGTGGCCAGCGGGGCACAAACAAATCATGCCGCGGGGGGTTGGGGGTGGCTTGGTGCCGGGCCCCAGTTCTGTGCCTTGGTGGCTTTGAACATTGAGGGGGGCAAGACCCAAATGGTGACCCAAATTGACATGGTTTTAGCCACAGTTCCCGCAGTTGATTCCCGCTCTTCCCTGAGCCCATGTTGGGAAAGAAGGACCCTTGCAGGGAGTGGAGAGGGGACCACGGACCACTTGAGCCACATCCCTACGCCGCAAGTAATGTGCGGAAGGATGCGGGCGTAGTCCCAATAAAAGGACCCTCCCCGATTTTTGTTTGTGGGTACGAAGGAAATAATGCAGGGAGGGGCCTTCACGCGTTTTCAAGCTGGGGGTGGGATTGAGCCATCATATTTTTCTATTACCCATCCTACACTTCCAGTGGTGGTGTTTTTCTTTTTGCTTTTGTAGGGGGCTTTCCCCTCAAAGTCAAGTACCAGCAAAAAGGGTCATTAGGGAAACCAGATGGGCTTTGTTTAAACCGGGGTTTTGTGAATGGTTTAAACGGGGCCTTGTCAAAAGTATGGCAAATTGTGTACCCGTTTCAGTGCCGCCGCCGGTGCCGCCTGTTTTAAGGGTATACTTGTGCCCAAAGGAGTTTGCCTCCAACAAATTTTGGCCCAAGCCGACCGGTCAGGGTTCCTCCCAAGCGCCCGGAGCTTGATGCCGGCCAGGTTCCGCTCCCGAACTTTGTGGACGCGGCCCAGGTGGCCTTTTGGCTGCCCTTGCTTTCGGATCAGCTCATGAGGCGGGATCCCGGGTCAACGAGAGAGCCCTTTCTTTACTCAGTCCCCTAAGTGTTCCCTTGTTTTTGTTTTGAATACCTTCAAAGGGTCGGTTTAGGGTGAGCTTCCTTAGTGGTGACGTTTTAGGGACGTTTTAGGGGGAAATTCAGGGAGCGTGGTTGCTTGGCAGTTGCCAGCCATGCCCTCAGGCGTTTAGAGTAGAATTTCCAGGGAATCATGACGGGATTCATGACATATCCACTAGTTTGACTTGTTGCCAGAGATGGCCATAATTGTGTTTTTGCAAAGGAACCTAGTAGAGGATGATCCTTTCCAGACGACCCAAAGGCCCTTCAAAGGATAATTTGCCTATTGTATGGCGAGCTCACCTGGAAGAAAAACGAGCCAATGCTAGTATAGGTCGCTGTGCGTGACCGGACAGCGTCAACTCAGGTGTCAAGATGAGCCCGCCGCCAGAATTGGTGTGGAGAATGTTTTCACTTGGATATGTGTCAAAATGGTTTTGGTTGTCCCTTTGGGTTCCCTTTGAACCAAGCCAAGCTGAAAAGGGTACCCTCAAAACATCACCACACACTTGTACAATTCCTGGCTGCTCAAATCCACAAAAGATCCAGACTCCCTGGTTGCTGCCGATTTCTTTGCAAGAGAGGTTAGACTTGGCAGGGCTGTAGTGACTACGACCCACGACATATCACTAGCATTTCAAGTTAGTGAGGGGGCCCTACTAAGTCACAGATGCCTCTGTTTGTCAATACTTTCCTGAAGATTAAGGAGCCCGCAACACGCATGTTGGGAGACGTCTTCTGATGGTTGACTGGAAGCCCCCGGAGTGAAGCCCTTCGAGATGCTTGATGCCGAAGCGAAGGAGCGGGTACACACCAGCCTATGCCACGGGGGCAGCTTAGGCCCCAGAGGGTCTGGGTTGAAACTTGAAACATTG